GGGGGGGGGGGGGGAGGTATTTTATTGAAATTTTACTTGTCGAAAATTGCAGGCCTTCTTTTATTCGTTTTGTTTTCTTTTCTTATTTTATTTTTACAAAATTATTCGACATTTCCACTCCTTCTCTTTCTCACTCAAAATTCTCCATATTCTCTACGTTCTCCATTGATTTCTCAGAATCTCCCTTCTCTTTATTTCCTCGAAATTTTCTTATCGCGTTTGTTTACCTTTTCATTATCGAATCGTTATTTACCTATTTTTACCGTAAATACTTGCACTGAGTGACCCGATTTCGGAAAAATGTAAATATTATTGCTTTTTCCGCTATCGGGAGATTTTGTGCGTGACCAGCTTATTCACCATTGTGTTCGGAACTTCGGAACTATCTGTTACTTTTCTCTTTGCTCTAGAGAATGCGCCGTTTGCTGCATTTTTCGCATTCTGATAAGCATCTCTACTTTTTCCCGAGAAAATTGTGCTACTGGAACCGGCCACCGTTAAGAGGAATTGATGGGTAAAGTTTATAGAACTGCCATTGTTGAACAGTATCTGTCATTGGGTCAGGTGTTTATGCTTCAAAATAATCTTGATTTTATTCACAAATTTTCTTTACACTCCCCCTCCCCCCGCTTTTTTGTATTTCCCCTGATATATCTGACACCATTTTGCTTAAGAAATCCCAAAAAAAGCGATGCGATTTGTTGTGTAATTTCCATAAATAGCCTTCATATCATAAATTAGATTTTTTGTGCTTACGGTAGGTATACTGTATTTACTGGATTTGTTGATTATTAATAACGTTGAAATATGAAGCACGCTAAATAAACCCAAGGCTTCAGGAAAGCTTCGAAGAAACCTATTATTCTGCCCCATTACCGTACCTCTACCGTAGTCCTGCAGGGGCTTTCCCTCGTGAAAAAAGGCATAACATTGCTATTGCGCGGAGAGGAGTGATTGTCGCCTATTAGTCAGCTTTTGGTGAAATTCGTCAATTTTTTATTTTTGATTCCATATTTTCACTCTTTTTTTTATTCCTCTCTTCTAAATCCACCGAGAACCGTTCCGGACACGCCAAATTTACTTAGCCAAAGCGCTCATTTGGGTCCTCAAGTGGTTGGCGATAGCTAAAAGAGGTTTTTTTATAGTTCGAAGTGCTATGCAGCTGCTTGAGAGGAGGTGGCATAATGGACTTTTGGAAAAATGATTTATGCTTCGAAAGTTCTCAAACTTTTTGGGAGTCTTTGGAAGTTTTGAAGGAGATTTTTGGTTAAAATGTCCATTTGTGGTTACTTCAGACAACATTGTTGCACTTATACTTTTATGTTCTTTTGATCCTCTTCTGCATGTGACTTGTTTTTGTCGCTGTATCTATAGATGATAAAAATTTTCTACGCAAGATTACTTAAAGAAATCAATGTCAACTGAGGAGCTATTATTAGACAATAGTCCATAAATTGAGGTACGGTAGTTCTTGTCTAGGTTATCGTTTTAACAAATTGGAAAGCATGGAACACTTACCCTTTGATTGAACTGGCTTGACGGCCGGAAGCGGGGCTTCGTGCTCTCTAATCATTACCTAACCTAATCAAGGTTAGGTTATGATTAGAGAGCACGCGCGCGGGAGAGACGCAGAGTGCGTTGCGGGCGCGAGCGGCCTCAGTTTGGTCACAAGGCCCGCCTTCCAGACGCCAAGCTTGTTGAATCAAATGTTATCTTCACAGTTTAACCTTTTTGTAAGGCTCCTTCCCGTTCCTACTTCCATAGTTATCAGAATGCCTACAAGTTATAAAGATCTGAACATGTCGCAAGCTGAAAAGGGTCATTTGCCAGTTGAATCAGAAAGATGTGCTAGAACACAGTGTTTGTTTTTTTTGCTTTGATCACAAATTTTTGAAAAAGGCGCAATTTTCAGAAAATTTGTAATTTTACTACTCCTGTCCGTCTTCGCTTTTCTCCTTTCATAGCTGCTGTCGAATAAATGTTTAGCTGTTCGATCTCCAGTGAGGCTCTAGCCTTATCGTTATAAGTAAGGAAATTTCTTTTGATGTACGAGTATAGGAACTTCCAGCGCATTAGCAGGCAATTGGGGAATTTGGGGAATTTTCTGGAAAGTATATAGTGTTTCCATGAAAGTTACATAGTCTTGGAACGCTAGAACTGGATATTTCTCTGAAAAACTCAAAAATTCCCATCACACTGATAATCTAATTATTGAAGAAAGATTTAAAGTGATATGGCGCACCATGAGTGTACAGAAAATAGTTTAAATAAATAAAATTGGATAAGCGAATATTTTTGACCTGTCATTTTCTCAGCTTTTCTCTATATTCTCTTTGCTGTAGGATTTACCTTTTATAATTGCTGTTGAATTCCGCAAACTTCCTACCGTAACCCAATCCTGTAGTAATGAAGGCCATTTTAAATCCCGTTCAAAGTTTCAGATTACTCAAGCTCTTCTCAAAACTTAGGACTCGTGAGAATTTTCAACTCAGACAGCGCACCGGAATTTCTGCAGAACGTTTGGGGAAGTTCCGCCGAGTTACCTGCGGAAGTTCCCAAATGGGGCGCTGCGGAAGTTTCAAAGTATGCGAACCATAACAGCAAAAGAGAGCCTAAGGGGGATTCGAATCTTGTTCTACTTACACTCGCTCACTATCCTCTGCACTACAGATGACATGTTCAACAATGCCCTCTAGTTGTGGGTGAGGCTACATTGTAAGAGACAAGACGTTCAAAAACCTGCGGAAGTATGGCAGGACAAAGTGCTGCGGAACCTCTGGCATCTTCGGAATTTCCGCAGCGCTTTGTAAAAAAATCCTGCAGAAGTTCCCATTTCCAATGCTTCAAGTCCTGCCAAAACAAAATCCTGCGGAACCTCTGCAAAAATTTCTTGTCCTGTGGAAGTTCCGATGAATTGTCTGCGAAGGAAGGAACCATCAAAAAATCATAGGAGTGAGGAGTTTCAAAAAGAACTTATGTTTGTACTAATTCCGAAGCTATGTAGCGTGAGTGGTTTGTGGTATGTTACTACACATAGCCATTTTGTAAAGAACTCGGCAACGTTTTGGTGGAACAAGTTTCCATTTTTTAGACACTCGTGGAATCTTTTCTGTTCGCGCGCAAATGCTTAGAAGCAACAGCGTGTGAACTCAATCGCTTAGTAGCTGTGTGTGTGGTTGCCAGTTATGTGTGGGGATGCTATTTATGATTCTGCGTTTCTTCCTTGCCGGTCTATTCACGAATTCCCCCGTCCATCTCCCCCGCTTCGCCTTGCCCGTCCTGGTAGCCAAAAAAAGAACTGCCCAACCGCTCGACTCACTTGCTAATGATCCCCTCAAAGAGATAATCAGGGGTAGGAGTCCTCTTAGTGCAGCCTCAGTTGATCACTGGAATCTCAGTCCGAAAACCTGTATGCTTAAGGTTTTTCCGTCTCCGGCGACAAGAGCGCGTCGCCGTCGTCGACACACGGAGGAGCGGAGGAGTCCCTTCGTCCACTTTAATTCATCATATGCTTGCTGTAAAGGTGGTTGGTCATTCCCTGGGAGGAATGGATGCGGCCTTGTTATTCTTCACTTTTCATCTTCGCAGTTTCATCTGCAAATAGATTAGAATACCTCCTGCGCGGTTTTTTTTTGACCATCGACCTCATTAAAGAGGCAAACAGCGAGGAATCCTTTGCATTCGCGAGTGCACTTTCTCTTCACTGCTTGAGTAGGCGCTCTGTACTGTTACAGTAATCCTACAGTACACCCCTCTCTATCATACACTGTATAAGCTACACTTTCTAATGCTCAACTTGAATCCAGGTGAAACAGCGAAAATCTTTTACGTGTACACAAGTCGCCTTCTTTAATATGTTTGATTGGGCGCTCTATGTTGCTACAGTAGTCCTACAGTAATCCTCAGCTCTCTAAATTCATACGAAGTATTGTTTTCCGCGTTTTTCTCTATTCCGAGCCCCATTTATAACAAACAGCTAGGAGACATTTTTTGATGAAGAAGTTTTTCCTCTTCAATACATAACTAAGCACTCTATGCCTTTACCGTAATACTACAGTAAACCTGTCCTTCCAAAAAATCTTTTCTCTCCATGTTTCTCTTTAATATCATTCAAGAATTTCACAACCCTGAAAATGCAAAATTTACTTTCTTTGTTTTTTATCTGCCGCTTTGTGCTGATACCGTAATCCTACAGTACACCCACTCTCTGATAGAAGCTTCTCTCCTGTAGATCTGTCTATAAAATTATAGGATGATAAATGAGAACAACAGGAGGTTCACATGAACTTCACACATGGTTTTTTCGAGCGTGGCACATTTTTGCGCGTCAACTTGGCTGTTGTGCATCAGGTTTTTCCCACCTTTGTGTTCTTCCCCATCTCGTCCAGATGAGCGATGGCTAGTGCTGATAGTGTCGCATCTATTTAGTGTAACTTGAATTTTTATGGAAGGGCCTTTGTTCCCCCTCAGCCATCCCGGCGCTCTCAAAAATTTGAAAAATTACATTTTATAAAAAATCCGCATAACTTTCTCTTATCTTTGTTTTTCTTCAAAAAAGCGTATTTGTGCGCTTAAACAACTCAATAATTCTTATTTCTTAATTCATAAGCCTTACCCCACCCAAACCATTTTTCAAAATTTTTTTGTAACAAGAAAATTCTGTGCACCTTGGAGATTAGGTGACATCTTCCAGACACTTGATTTTTCTTTACGATCTCAATTGTGTCTTTGTCACCTCCACCAGTTTTTTCCTCACACTTGAATTCGTTCTTCACCTTCTTTCTTTACGAGGCTGACCTCATTTTTCTGCGAAAATTGTGCTCATTGTGAAAATAATTTACACGAAAGTGGTTCATTTTTCACTAAGCCGCCCCTTTTAGTTCGTATTTTTTCGGGCACTCGACTTCTTCACGTCTTCTTTTTTTCATTTTTCGTTCATCCCCGCTTAGATTCTCCACCGTGGAAACTAATTTATTTTTTCCTCAAATTTTCTTTTTCAGATGGATTTCATAGAAGAATGTATGGAAAGTATATTAGCTTGCTTCAATAGAAATAAAATCGACGAGACTCCAAAACCTAAGCCTAGGCAACAGTTGTATTATCTGGATCCATTGAACTTACTCGACGAAGAACGGCTAGAAAAGGACTTTGAGAAATTTGTGGTATGTGGAGCTGTTAATTTTGTACTATTGTCAATAGAGTAATTTTTGTGTTTTCAGGAAGAATGTGGCCTTAGTGAAGAGAGAAAAGCAGATCTAAGAACCTATACAAAAGAAAAGAAGTTGATTCTGCTCAATAATCAGACGGTGAGTATTGAAATGATAGTCAACATTATATTGAAATGATGGTCAACATCGATCAAAGGAAAAATATTATGGAAAAGTGGGGAAAACAAATTCTAAAGATCAGAATATATTTTATTTTCCTTGAAAACTAGGAATTTTCTGAGCGTGGTGTAATGAAATGGTTGACTTTTTTTATATTTATATTCTACCAACACCGTCAAAAAATTTGTTTTTTTATCGAACATAACCTCAGAGCTTTTGAGTAACTTAGTTTGGGAAAAAATAATTTCACTTTTTCAAAAATGATTAGTATCAGAAGTATCCAGTCAGTTCAGCCATACCCCCTTAAGCCAGAATTTTTTTATACATTTTCAATTTGATTGAAAGTAATGGCTCTGGAATCAATAGAATGTGGTGGTTCCCTGTTTTCAGCATTCAAAACGCTTTCATAGATTTTTTTTGATCATTTTTACAGCAATAAAATTCAGACAAGTGCAACTTTTTCCAAACTCTCCACTGGTATTTTTCTACTTTTATTTGAAAATTTTTGAACTTAAGAAATCTAAGGAGCTCAGAGGTTCAATGTTAGATAAATCCAAAAGTTTTCCAAATGAACAATGCGGGATTTTTAGCCACGAAATGCATAGCTTTGAAAATAAGTGACATTATTTGAGTGAAAAGAAAATGAGGTAATTGTTTAGAGGGAAAAACTGAAAATTGATTTTGTCTAATTGACTAGAGTGGGAACGAAGTATCGGATAGGACTTGAATTATCAACTGGAGAATGCTTGGGTAAAAATATATAGAGTAAATTAAACGAACAAGTATTTTGTAGTATAAACTGAAGATTAAACTTGATTGCTGAACAATAAAAAATTTAAATCAAAATCAAAATGCTTTTGTCGACTGTTTCCTAAAAATTCCATAGTTTTGATATTCTAACAAATCTCCCATCGTCTGACCCCGCATGACCTCCGGCTCGCTTTCAAAAGTGCAACCGATGGCGAGAATGATATTGTTTGCACATGCGAGTGATAAACTTAGTCAAGGGGCGGCTTCTGTTTGACCGTCATGATGAGCTGACCGGAGGGCTTAACGGTCATCGTCCCTACCCACTAATCCTCATCGGCCTCCCAGGCATTTACCCATTGTTTTATCAAGAATTTCTGGTTCCTAGGTCCTGAGTCTTGAGCCTATTGACTTGATCAAATTAGAATTTGCTGTTGAGTTTTTTCTTTTCAGTTCCGATCAGAAGAAGATTGTGGAAAGTTTATTTCGATTCTGAGAGCCTACGAAAAAGACCCAGAAGAGCTGTTTGTTCCACCGGTGGATATTCTACAGGACGTCACAATCACACTCAGGACACAGTGTTCCAGGTAGAGCATATGGTTCCAATTGGATTTGTTTATAATTAAGCTTAGGGATCAGATTACTCAATCACAAATTATCTCGGCCGGTCCCATTATGTAGAATTCTGGCCCTTCCCTAAGGCTGAAATGATCTTTCCCAAACTATTCTGCTTTTACTTTTTCTATTTCTCAACCTTTTCCCCACCCCTTCAAGGAAGCTCCATTCATTTGGAGGCAATTTCTAAGCCTTTCAAAAAATTTTTTTACCAAAAGTTTTTTTGTTTTGTAGGAACAAAGGGCTCTTTCCCGTCATTCATAAAATCACTTATAGGATCTTGCTACACTTAGTTCCAGTGGCGGTCTTGACTACTCGCTCCCACCACGCCCCTTCTCCCCCTTCCCCCCCCCCCCCTCCGTTAAATCCCGCTGAACACTTTCACATGCTTTTTCTCCATTATGACATTATGTGACCCATCGCTTACTTTTTACCATTCCCCCATTTTCTAGCGCATTTTCGCATGCTTTTTGTTACTCACGCGGATTGGTTCGGATTTTCCACTCTTCCCTCCCCCCCCCTCGCATCCGCATTGTGTAATAGAATTTTTGAATTTGATTCCTGTTTTGTGTCCCTTTCTACTTCTATCTTTTTCGTACTTGATTTTAGGTATGGAATCATCCTAGAACTTTTAAGATCTCACTTATTACTATTTTTTACCGGAACGCTCTTCCCGCTCCTCCGTCTCTCCACCCCCTTTCTTCCTTCCATAGCTTCATCTATTCCAGATGTTTTTCTTCCGTCTAAAACCTTAAACCTTTTCACGTTATGGTGAAGTCATTTGTAACTATGTGAATCTGCACACTACACGCAGCAACCGACGACACCTTTAGTACCTCTTCAGTAAAACCTCTTACAGCAAAAAAAAACTGTTGAAATGTATACTACTAACCAATACATATCCAGTCAAATTAAAAGAGACAAGGAAACAAGGAGAATTGTGGAAAAGGCAGTTAGTTTCCCAAGTCGTCAAGTAATGCGCATGGTGTGCAATACGTATATCAATTTACAAATGACTCGAAGATATCTATGATATCCATTCAAACCTCTATCTCATCATCCGTTTACAGCAAAAAGTAGCGAAATAGCCTTACATAAGTGAAGTAGCGTAGTTCCCATCAGCATTGTCAAGTGGGTACTGTAGCTTTGCTCGTCAAATTCGATGTATCCTTCTTTAACATTCACAAGCTTAAAAAGGTTTTTTTCAAAATTATAGTGAGAAAAAGGCAGTCTGCGGAAGATTCAATTGTGTGGTATGATGAGAGTCTCTCAGCTAATGATAAATCCTCGCCAATTGGGTGAGGTCGCGATTGCGGCCATTACGTGCAAAGCAAGTAGAAAATTGATATTGTAATAGTAAAGAAGTCTTGTTCCGTTGTGTAGAATATTCCATGTTTTCTACTTGAATTTTTCGCATCTAGCTTATGCTGGCTGTCATGCATCGGGCTTATGCTATCCAGACTTGCGTAATGGTCGTAATCACGACCACTTCAAACACGCGATCAGTGAAAAGGGCTATACTTGTTTTGTGCGCGAGTCGTCGGATTCGCATCATCCGCAGCTGATGAGTGTTCTTTTATGTGATTTACGAGCGATATTCGACTCGGCGTACCGGTTCCGTTATATCTGGTTTCCGGTGTGGTAATGTTTTTTTGTATTGTTGTTGAGTGCGTTAATATGCTTTCGCGGGCGGGTAATCCCGTTCTCCGATTATTTTTATAGCGCGGGATGAGTTTCTCAGTGTTGTTGTAGTGGAAATTCTTATTTTGATACAATAGGGTATTTGTGCTCGTTTACGCAAAAGGTTTTGAAGGATTCAAACTTCATGTAGCCTGGGGAGATTCGTGCTACCATAGTGCAGGGATTCCATGCAGGACTAATTGCGCGGGAAAGGGAGCGTTGCTTGCGCGGCATGTTGGGTAGCATAGCTCACGCGGGAAAAAACTCATGTCTCTCGGTAATCCCTTTTCATCCCTCCCCCCCCCCCCAACACATCCCAGTCCGTTTTTCCCCGCAGTCTTTGTCACAACAACAACATGTTTCCATTTCCGGTGCTCCTCTCCTGCGCCCCCAAATGCTGAAAAACCCACTTTTGTCTTCGATAAGAACTAATTTTCAGGAGTTTTCAAATAATATGTGCCAATATCTGCAGAGTTCCCATGATGCCCTTGTTCCCCCCCCCCCTTCATCTCCACCCACCTCCCCTCACCCCCTTCTAGTCCCATAATTTCGCTGTTTTCACTTCTCGCCCCATCGGCATCCTTACGCAATCTTTCCCAAATCCAGTTCTTCTCACGAGAGATATGTCAAACTATGGGTTCAACTTGCACGCAATGTTTGGGGCAAAGTTTTGGAAATGGGGCAGGGGAGAGGGAAGGTTGCAAACCTGCTTTGAAACACTATCATCTGCACTTTTTCAGTCTTTTATTTATACAATAGAAAGAAAAAAGTATAAAAAAAAAGAAATCCAAAAAAATGCGTCAGCCGCATCACAGCAACTTTGAAAAAACAGCAGTTAGACCCTAAATTACTGTGGGGTATCTTCGGCTTTTTAGATGTTTGAAGAAGTCTGGAATGTTGTAGGCCAGCTGCAAAGCACCCTTGAGGAATACATCAGCGCATTACAACAAATTTGACGGCAAAACTACAGTAGCCATAGCATAGAAATTGGCGAAAGTGCATTTGCGACCGAAGCATATCTATAATTTCTGCATATCAGTTTTCAAGGAGTTGAGAAAAGTAAAAAAGAGGTGAAGTTTTCGAAGGTTAGTCGTACTGCACAACTTGACTTACCAAGGGCGTGAAATACAAGTAGTGTAATTGCGGCAAATCTTCTATCATCTATTATATGACTTAGAGGCGCATGACCGTGCAAACATTGCCTTAACAAGTCTGAGTTTGTTCTTTCCTGTTTTCAAAGAGTGAATAAACATGAACAAGATAAATAATAAGTAGAGATATGCTAAGTACACGATTAAGCTTGTTTAGACAATGTGTGAGTGCGTTCTCGCGTCTCCTAGTCATAGAATGAATGATATGTCGCATTGCAAGAAGAACTTCATGCTTTTAAGTATCATGGCTTGTTAGCCAACTTTTGTTGCTATCCTTTCCTTTTTTAATTTCTCTCCCCTCCCCTGGCTTCCATCCACCCATTCTGCACCTGCCTGCCAAAGCGTTAAAGGAAAATGTTCCCATCGCTTCAAAAAGGATCTACAAATTTGTGGTTGCTCCAAAATTGGAAATTTGTAGGAATCCAGAATGGAGGAAATATTCTACAACGCTGCCAACAATAGTTTCAGCCATCGATATGACATAGGCGTGAAAAAATCATTTCTGATTTTGCCATAACTCCGCTGATATATTGCTTGTGATTTGCTCGCGTTTTGCCCAGCAAATCATTGGCTAGATGAATCGCAGAATGTTTTGCGTGCGAACTGATTTTTCCACAACTCTGTGAGACATATAAAAAAGATTTGAGGGCTTTACCATAGTTCCCACCAATTTTCCATGAAAAAATTTGATATTTATCTTTATGTGTGCAAAGTTACTTTCAAACTTTTTTCTCTCCACATTTGTGTGTTTTAGAACTTATATCTGCCTTTTTCAGCTTTGTCCAACAATTCGTTGAAGCCGAGGGCGTACACCTACTCACGAAGTTTCTACTTCGGTCCCAAGAAAATCCAGGACTTCGTGCAGAGACCCTCTGTCTACTTGGGGCATTTCGAGCACTTCTGAACTCTACGGTTAGTCATCAGTTTTCTTTTTAATCCGGTAATTAGGGGTCAAAATTCAAAAAAAAAACTCAAAATAGACCCGATACAGGTTTTACTTGTAAAAGTATAAGAGTATTCTCGAGTATTCTTAGAAATAAGTACTAAGTGCATCTCAATTAGTGATTGCACATAGTTGCGTCGTACGGGAGAAATTACGTTCTCATCCCCATATGAGAGCTGGGAAGTGCAGATTAGAGTGTCAGTGAAGAAAAACAGCCTGGCTACTATTGAATGTCCCATACAGTGCACTATATGAAACGTAAAAACTTGTACTTTTACCCCTGTAATAGCCAAAAATCCAATTTTAAAATCGAAAACATCCATATTTGTCACAAACAGGCCGCTCTTTCGTAATAAAAAGTATTTTCCTTTGAAATTCCAGGTTTTTGGAACTTTCTCGCTTCAAGACCATTTGTGGATCTCCAAATTTCAAACATATGATTTACCCCCCCCCCGTTCTCACTTCTTGATCATGCGCGAAATCTCGGGTTCCTTCATTATGCGTCCCGAATGTCATAAAAGGTGCCGCCTGCAACCCCAAGTAACATGATATATGATAGCAGTAAGTGGATATCTGTCACGAGGCTATGAATTCATTTCACGCTTAGCGATCGATATGCATAATTTACATTAAGCTAGATGGATAAGCATTTGCCTCTTGCTCATAGTTCGAAAAATCTTTTTTTCGCAATATCTTGCAGAATTTTGTTCCAAAGCTTCTTACAAGAATAGAACCAAAGTTCAGGTTATTTCGAGTCAATTCTAGAAAAGTTTTTTTTGTAGAATTTTGATTAATCGGAACTTCTGCAGGGCTTGGTCTATAGAAGCTTTCCATTGTATAAAATTTTTTCCTTGTATCTACAATTTCTGAGTTTTCTCAGAGTTTTTCCTGGAAGGATCAGCTAGGCCTGTATAGGCTGTTCCCTACGGAATTTCCGATTAAGTAAAGTTCCGCGGAATTTCCGACTTGATAAAGATTATTTTCAAAAATCTTAGGATTATAATCCACCTATTCCAGAAGCAATCCTCCCAGAAACGATTAATTTGATTCAATTTTGAAGAATTTTTGCGCAGTTTTGTATGGTCGGAACTTCTGCAGGACTCCGCAAACCCGGCTTTGATTAAAATTGTTTTGTTCTGTTTGCTTCGGAGTTTAGTCTATGAAATGGCCAAAGTTTGTACAGTTGTACATTGCGAAAGTTCAGACAAACAGAGTTTTCGAAAATCCCGAGCTTCAAAGATCTGCGGAAGTTCCGACCAATGTATGTTCCCGCAAAATCTCTGTTGTTCGCAAATTCCAGAGAACAGCTTGCTAAAACTTCCTTCTAGCTCCCTCTGCTCACCCAACCGTGCAAATTCAAATAACCACAACTTTGTACACGGCTTTTCCCTTTCGTCAGAAAAAATCGCCTCCTGCTTAGACTGCGCTAGAAATGCAATATAACCTCAGAAAACAAAACCGAGACCTCAGAGGATTACTTTCACGGAAGAAAAATGAGCATTGCGGAAGCAATATTTCTAAGAGACCTAATGCATTTTCCCTCAGTCTTCCTCTCTAGGTCTCAATAGCTTTCTGAGAGGGCTCGTGACGATGAGATGGGTTGGAAAAATGCACATAAAGAAAAATCACGTTGACTTTTCTCGAGAAATAGGGAAGTGCCGGGCGCGTTCGCACATTTTAGCTTCTCAGAGTAGGTCCTGCGGAAGTTCCGACATAGTACCGCGTGATTTTTAAAACTCTTTTCTCTCAACATCCTATGTTTTTTCATAACAAAAGTCTTTTGGGACATGGTCCTCAAAATCAAGCGCTTTCGCAAGTTTTAACTAGTTAGATCATGTCCTGCGGAAGTTCCTAAATAAAGCCCTGTGGAAGTTCCGACTAAAACCTGCAAAATTTATATTGTTTCTCATTTTTTCGAATACCCTCTGCTTCCCATTTGCTCTCCATTCTCTTTCACTTGCGAAGCTTCTCCTTGCATTACTTACAAGTTGTAAAGTGTCAAAGCCCTGCAAAAATTCTGCAAGGAGGGTTTGATATGCAAACTTCCGCCGATGACCTGTCTTTGTTTAATGGCTAGTAAAAAACGTCCTGTTTGGTCATAAACCTTTTTTGCTGAAGAAAATGTTGACGAACGTGAGGCTTATGAGCTTTACTTTTTCAGCTATTTTAAACATTGTGTACGTTTTGGAGAAATCCCTATAATCAGCTCTTAGATTAGAGGGTTTGAGGATTCTATAGGCGTTCTACTTTGGAGAGCTTCTTTGAATTCTCTACACACGCTTCTTTTGATAATTTATTCGTCAAACCGAGGAAGAAATTGAGGGGGGGGGGAATTTGGAAGGGGTACAAAATAATTGCGACCTATAAGTCCTGCGCAATTGTTGATTTTCGAGTCAAACCGAGGTATGCGCAGCTGGAAATCGAAATTTTATGCAACACGTACATTACTCACTATCTCATACGATATGTAAACATAATCGTTATGTTTGCATTGTAGATTATGCGATTGGAATGTCTGAGATTTAGAAAAACCCGGATCTTAGTTTTGCTCTGGAAAAAACTTTTCTCCCCCAGGGTGTTAGGGTAGGTTTGACTTAAGGTAAAAGGACTCTAGCACCTGACAGAAGAAAGCCCAGAGATTGAGAAACGCCTTGTTCATAGAGAATTGATACCTCTTAAACAAATCCCTTCAATATTTTATGGAGAAAACTTTGAAACTCAAAAATCTATTGAACATCAAAATACTTTCTGTAATTGAGTTGTAATTGAGTAATAATCTCAAAATCGTATTGAATAAGTACGTTATAACCAAATCGCTACCTGTCTACGCAAGTTTGCAGACAAATCCGCGCAGCGAAATTTTATAGTACACTTACAGTAATCCGATTAAACTGTCATGAGGGTTTTTCTTTGAAAATATGAAATACTTGGCATCTAGCATTCAAGTCTTTTGTAAATTTTTGAAATTAGTGATCACCTTCCTCTCGCCCCGCTACCCCAAAAATAATGCATTTTTTTTCAGAAAGGGAGAGCAGCAGTTCTCGAAGATCCGGAGGCATTGCTGGCAATTGCTCGAGCCATTGATATCAACGACTGCAAGTGCAAGGTTTGTGCTCTTCGAGACTAAATTTAGAATTTATTTTTAATTCTCAAAAACTGGAAAAATTCCCTAAATATTTGTGCTTGATATCGTGGCCTGAAACCAATTATGTGAGAACTGGAGGGTATGGTGTACATTCTAATACTTATGCCTTGAGCTTGAAACAGGAGTTTTTGCATTTTTTAAAATCTTCAAATTTCTTGCATTTTCATGTTTATCTATGGGGAGTGAGAGGGGAATTTCACAAGCGAGATCTTGAGGAAATTTCTTCTTTGTTTGTGCTTATCCAGTGATGAAAACTGTGAGTTTTCTCATTTCCGGAAATTGTCGAATTTTCCGCGGAGTTGTTTTTATTATCAGGGCCTGAGAAGAGAGAAGATATGCACTCATCAAAAAAATTTCCTTTGCATTTCCTTATAATAGGGAACTGAAACCGAAATTTTTCAGTTTTACAAAAGCTCCAAATTTCTTGCAATTCTGTGTTCGTTCTAGGGACGTGAAACGGGAATTTTTAGATTTCCAGTTGAGAAATACCTTTGCTCATGCTTATCTAGTAGGCTTGAAACCGGAAATTTCTAACTCCAGAAATTTTTTTTTCAAAATCTTCTTGCAGATCGTTGCCGTCGAAATTCTCTCCGGTCTTTGTTTCGTGCCCGATGATGGTCATCGTCGAGTGTTGACTGCTCTCACACAGGTAAGGTAATTCTCGCGCCCCGCCCCTCCTCCACTTGAGGGGGTCGAAGAATCAATCAAAACACGCAATATTCTATGCTTAAGTGAGCATTACGTCGTATGTATTCCAGCTTGCACCAATTCTCGGCGAACGAACTCGTTTCCAGACGCTTGTTAGCGATTTACATAAAAGGTAAAAAACCGCCTTTTCTCACTCGCTCCCGCTCCGCCCCTCGCCCGTATGGCTCGCCGCCCTCGAGGCTATGGGGTATGGGCATACAAACCTGTTGCTAGTAGTGTGGCTTGCATATTTCCTATGTTGCTTTTTCCAAGTCTCATGGATCATTAGGCTTTTAGCATCGGGCTTGGTTGGAAAAAGTTCCGTCGTAAATTCTCTGGGGAACATAAATTTCCTCAGCATTCTTCTGCCTTTTTTCCTTTTCCGATAATTTTCCGGAGCATTAATCTTCTCGTTTCCTATTCATTCAAACTTTTTGAGCTATCATATGCTTTACAACTTTGAAGTGAAATTTGAAAGAATTATGTGCATTTGCGTATCACGCGCAAATTGATGATCAAACTACCGAAATTTTTGGGCAAATTCATTAACAAATTCACGACAAGACCAATTTTTCGATAACTGCCATCTCGGACCAGAGCCTTTTTTGCTTTGTAAAACTTACGACCCACCAGTGTTCGTATTGTCCAAAATGGCGGAACACCTACGACCCATCGATGGATCGTATGGCGTGAATGTGTTAAAGTGCAGTCAAATGCTTTTCTTTCCTTAGGCTTAACGATTATTACAAACAGTGAAAGAAATTAATTAAGACCCTTGATTAGAGTTACAAAGTTTTCTCTTGATTATTTTTTTATTTAAAATATTTACAGGTTTCATTCTGAAAGGGAAACCGATCGTGCTCGAATTGCAATCATTGGACTAATAAACGCCCTGTTGAGAACGGGGCATGCCGAGGTGAGTGGTCCATTTACAGAAATTATTATAATCTTTGTAAAAATGCATACTTGATACAAATACAGAAAAACTTCAACCTTTTATTTTCTCGTCTTTACCAACCCTTACCGTATAGAATTCTGACTTAGATTGAATTTTCGCGATCTTATTTTTGCCGCTTCAGTTAAGAAATTGAATTAAGATCGAAGAGAAAATTTTCTGCATTTCTCCACATCAAAATTGCTTCTCTTCATTGCTGCAGATATAAAATACTTTAACACATGTGTATATTTTATTAAAGAGACAACTCTGATTAGCTCTTTCCCCTGCCAATCCATAAGTGCATATTATCTCGAAATTCCTCTAAGTCTAAGCAAAAATAGTGTCTAAACCAGCTTTGACGCAGCAAGGGCACATTTAGAGATTGAAGTTGTGAAGATGTTTACTCAAATATTGTGATTTTTGAGCTGTTCTGAATGACGCGAGGAAAGTGGCAACTATTTTTAGCTTCTGTAACAAAAAAGGCCCAATCATTTCTAAGAATCACTGCAAAACAACTAAATGCTCTGTTTCTACTAGTCAGAAAAAAAATACCTCGACGATTTTGAGCTGATCTGTGATTTTTAAATATATAACGAAATCGATCTTGAAATGTTTAAAAATGACAGAAAATTCCTATCTGGTGTATTTTAGTAAGCATAGCTTCCATAATTCTATAATCCTACAGTTTTCTGCCACCCAATTTAAAAGTTGCACGCTTTGGGTAATTTCCCTTATCACTCAATCTCGGAATATTTCGGATTGTTTCTTCTTAGTAAGCCTTTTATACAAAACTTGATTTTTTGCAATCAAAAATTATTATTTCATCGAAGCCATAAACATTCTAAAATGAGGGGCACAATTTTCAACTCCTTTGAGAAAATTGTTTTCTTTCTAATAAATATGTGGAAAATAAGTCTCGTGTTGGGATCTAAGGGTAGGAGGAAAGAAGGGATGTAAAGTTTTTCAGAGAGAAGATAGATCTCTGGATATTGCGTTTCTATACTTCAACCCTATGAACCCTAAGATTTCTCGAAAAATTGCTATTTGCTATAATCATATTGGCTTCAAGCCAAAAAATTCTGATATCCCTCTTCCAAATAGATCAGTCAATCCATTTCTTCTCTCTGTTCTATAGGCATGTAGTGTATATGTTCCCCCCCCCCCCCCCTTCCTTCCCCCACTCATCCACTCAACTTCTTCAGGAACGATACCATTGCTTGTTATTATTGTTTTTCATGCATGAGAGAGACTAGGTAATCTCACCGAACCGCACACCGGTACCTGTTCCACTTTCTGGCAAATAGCAAACACAGTTAATAACGTCAGCGAGTGTGCCTCCTTATAATAACGGAGTTTGCGGTTGAGGTTAACCTCTCGATCTTGAGAAAAACCCCGTTGCTTAGTTTGTACGTGTGTAGAATGTTGATTACTCGAAGCGGGGCAAAAGAAAATAACCAGATCTCGTGGTCTTATTTACACTATTTTTGGCTAAGTGAGATTATTTGGGCGAATTCTAAATTTATGAAAGTCAAAATAAATTCGTAATAACACTTGAAATCACTTTCTTTTCAATCTGAATCGGATTTTTCCAGCAATTTCAGAGAATTCTATTCAGCTTCAGCTAAATTTTCACGTGCTTTCTTATTTTTTTTTATGATACCATATTTTTTGCGCCAAATAATCTAGGAGAATTTTTTTCTTCTCCCACCCCCCTTATTGTTCTTGGGAACACCTGGAGAGTTGTCAGAAGTCATCAAAACAATAAACAATTTCTTCCGGGGTGTAAAGTAGCACTGAAGGCGCTAATGTTATTGCAGGTTATTGTTGAGTTGCTGCACATTACCAGATAATTTGTTTGCTCCCCCCCCCCTCCCCTTCTCTTCTCCATCTCTTTCCATTTTCTCCTGCAAACTCTAAAAGCTGTGGCGTTTTTAATTTTTTTCGTGTACATATTTTGCTGGAAAGTTTTTTCAAATAATTCTCAAATTTTTCAATCCTAGAATTCTGACAAATATTCTTTAAGTGAGGCAAAAAATCAACAAAAAGAAAAGTTAAAACAAATTATTTTTTACATTGAGCCCCAAATTTTTTAAGCCTGCTTATCGAACAGTACATCTTTTTCGAATATCACATTCCCTTCTTATAAGAAAGAAATTATCCACTGGAGAAAATACAACAAACGCATTGATTTTTTATCTGCTTGCAATTTTCCCGAGCAAAAATTGGATGGTACTTTAAGCCACGCCCCTACCTCCATCTCTCTTAGCCCTTCCAGACATTTTTGCGCACCTTTGCTCTCTTTTTATGAAAACAAGTTCCATAAAGGGTTGAACCATTTTTTCCAACTCAGGAATCAAAAATATTTGAAGCATTTTTAATGCTGCAAGCTGCTGTCAGGGAAGGAAGAGAGGCCCCAAACCAGTTCAGAATTTTTTTTCTCTTGCGCTTAATCTACGGTACATTACATAGAATGGGTACGAGTAGCCTGTTCATAGTAGCCGGTTTGCTTTGCATGCTTCGGTCACTGCAAAAGCGAAGGGGGAGGGAAGAGGGGTAAAAATAGAAAATGTATATCGAATAAATGAGATTCCCGAGCTACAGCATAATTATATAACATGTGGCGTTGATGAATAGCCGAAAAAACCGCATGCCACACGTTTGCTTGCAATCAAAATTACACAAAATCGTTTTGATCAATCATAACCAGTCCTATAAAATGTTATTTTTACAAAAAACAGCACATTTATTCTTTTAGTCCTCGCTGGAATTTCGAGTGCATTTGCGCTGTGAATTCTTAATGTTGGGTATGGCTCAAGCCGCTGCACTGATGCGAGAATCGGCATCGAATCAACTTCAAGACCACTTGGATCTCTTCGAAATGATGAGAAAAGAGGACGAGATTGTTTTGTCTGGGTGAGTTTGTGCCCTTAGAGTTGTTTAGGAGAGATTAAATCAGACGGAAGTTTAGTGGAAACTCCGAAGATTCCGGAGCTTCATCGCCGGTAAATTTCGAAAGTGCCACGGGCATTGCGGAAGCTCTACAGTCAAAGCTAAAGAACTCACCTGCTCATCCGCATTTCATGTCACTCCTACAACATCTATTCATGGTAAGGGTTTCATTTTTTTATGTTTGGAAGCTTAGGATTTTTTTTACCAAACCCTTGCCCAAGTGGCAGCCCAAATAATTCATTCGTCGCCGATTCAACTTTGAACTCTCGCCCAATACAGTACCCTTCACGAGAAGGCGCGTCTTCTACGGTAGTGGGCGAGAGAGCAGAGTTGAATTTCTGCCTATGAATGAATAGTATGAGCTTGTTCAGCTATTTAAACCATAAACAAATATTAAATAGGTACCGTATCCGTCAGGGGTGGATGCGTTCCCGAGTACGGTATGGGCGAAAGTTCAGAGTAGAATTTCACACTCACATAAGCAAAATTTGAGCTGATTTAAATCCTACAAGCTAGGTAATCTCTCGCCCAATACCGTATTGTTTCCCAACGAAGGCGTCCTGCTGTACGGTATGGGAGAGTATGGTAGTAATATTTTTATTGCATAGATTTTATTGTTAGGAGCTAGTTTATTTGCAAATTACATGAGTCCTCACCCAATACAGTACTCTTTTCGAACGGACGCGTCCTGGCGGTATGGGCGCGAGCCCAATTGGATTTCTCACTCAGATCTTATGAGCTATTTAATGCCACGTGAACTATCTAAGTTCTTGCTCAGACCGTACTCCTCTGGAGCAGGCGCGTAGACTACGGTAGTGGGCGAGAGTGTGATACCAAAATTTGCTTTTCTACAGATGAATCACATAAGTTGTTTGAATCCCGTGGTCTATATGATGCTTGCCTAGTACCGTTCACCCTCGGGTACAGTATGAGAGAGATTGAAATTGAATGTTTTGGCCACGAATGGATCTTATGGGCTGGCACTTGGGCGAAAGCCTTAAGACCTTCAGATCAGTATATCATCAAAATTCTTCCCTTCAGGTCCCCTCCGACGAAAAACACCTGCCACTTTGGCGACTTTTCGATCTAATCCTCCAACATTTGACCCTTCACGCCACCGTCCATGGTATGACCGACGTTGAGGAAGCGTTCACATCAACCATCGACATGGAGGACATCCTTACAAGGTTGGGAGCTATTGCCCATTCCAGTCGGGCGCTGTGTGTTTATTCCCGTCCAATTAACCTTCGCCGACAAGCAGGTTGCATACGCAATGCGACTACGAACGTTTGGAAGGCGAGATGGAACGAATGAAGGAAGAGTTGGACCAGGAACGAATGAGGGCAATGGAATTGGACAATCGAATAGCGGATTTGAGTGATGGACGAAACAGTATGGTGAGCAGGTTGGTGTACTTTTACAGCATTTCTGGTTGTTTTTTTTTGTGTAAAAAATCTATCACTTGGAATCCTTCCTTTTTCCTCTCCATCCCTAAGGATGCCAAGGGAAGCTTGTTCTTTTCAGCAAATATCTTTAGAAACTATGTAACGAATATCTTCAATTGTTTTGTTTACTTCTATTTCTAGATTTGTTTCTAAAGAAATTTCTATTTCAAGTTGGATCACAAAAATGAGAAGTTTACTCCAAATTACTTTGTTGAAAATTTTCGCAAGACCTTTGAGCTAAATTCGGACCATTGTATAGCTGAGCATTTTTTATGATGTATAATGTTACTGTAAATATACTGTGGCAAAAAAGTAGGGCATAGTGATAAAACTTAGCCAGCGAAATATTTATATAACTGAGAATCATGAATAATCTTCTTTATTAATTGCACAGCTTCGGGACGAGTTGAGATTAGAATTGTTTGAAATCCATCCAGAATTTCTCTCGATTTAATAGTTTTATTTATAATATTCTCATCATGTTCTCTATTAATGATTTTGTATTTGACCTCAAACGTGAGAAAGTGTATTCTGCCAAGCGGAGATTTTTTATGCATTCATTTATGAAAGTAATACCGTAGATGTACTGTGATTTTTTGTTATTTTTTTATTCGTTTGCTTCCTACCATATGGCTACCGTATCTGATGTGAGCTCCCCAAAACTGCCAATTTCGTGATCCATACTTTATGATCCGTTTTAAAAAAACATGATTTTTTTTTCGGCAAAAAATGTCACTGTGATCGGAACCAGAATGAATGTTTCTTCCCCAATTACACAAATGCCAAAGCTTGAACCATCTTCTCATAAATTTTCATCAACTTTTTGGCAGAGTTTCAAGATTGGGAAATTTGGAAAAATTGTCTGATCCGCTAACAAGAAGCGGAAAAAGCATTATTGTTAGATTTGCATTTTGATGTAACTTTTTGAAAATTGATCATCAAAGATGGGTAACGCGTGCGGTAGAAACTCTGAAATTTCAACTTCGCCCCTGTCACGCCCATTTTTATAGAATTTGTTACACTATCTAACTTCACTTTTTTGCGTCCAATGGCTTTTAAGAAAACGTAGCAACATCTAAAACAATATAAGACATATTTTCAAAACCTATTTTAGCAGGATCTCCAACTCATCTTCCCCGTCGGATCCGTGCCCCTCAATGTCATCCTCGTCCCCACTTCCTCCGGTTTGTCCTCCTTCTGCTATACCACCACCGCCTCCACCTCCGCTAGCGTTAGGTTTGATGAAAGTTGAGGAGGTAAGCTTTTCAGACACTGCATTTTCCAACCGCAGTGGAAGGAACAATGTTTAGGCTCAAAAACGTGTCCCAAAGCCCGCTGGTCCATTGAAAACCTTCAACTGGTTAAAGCTCAATGAAGCCAAAGTCAAAGGGACGGCGTGGGAGTTTATCGAGGATGAGAAGATGTACAAACAGGTTAGAAAAATTGATTTTTGCTCAAATTTAAAATTTTTAAGGTATTTTGACAATTTCAGCTCGATCTAAGTGATATTGCCACAACTTTTGCTTCCTGCTCACAAAAAGAGGATGATGCAGATTTTTATAGTACAATTTCTCGACGAAACAGGGATGCTCAGGTGATTTACTGGAATACTGTAGGGATACTGTAGCAATATCGCTACGTAACTTCTTACAGGTCTCAGTGATAGATCCTAGACGATATCAGAACTGTACAATAATGCTTTCGAAGTTAAAACTTACTCATCGTGAGATTCGAACAGCTTTACTCGCCATGGACGATAAAGGGAAGTTACCGAAAGACATGATAGAACAGGTATGAGCAAAAGTTGTGTCTGGCTCGCGCCCCGCCTACATTTGGAATTTTTTTAGATGCTTAAATTCGTCCCGAGCAAGGATGAGGTTACACTTTTGAAAAACACTGTCAATCGTCATGGATCGCCATCTGTATTAGCTTTAGCGGATCGATACCTCTATGAAATGGCTCAGTGAGTTTTCTTTTCTAGACTTGTCTTCTTTGGGTAGAATTCGCTGCAAGACCAACGTAAGGGCGAGTTTGCTGCTTTTACTCTGCGTCTCTTACATAGCACCATAGCGTCATCGTGTCTCACTCGTTCACCGACAATGTATGAGAGACGCAGAGGACAAGCGACCAGCTCTTATCTGTTCTCTGTAGGTCCTACAGCGAGCAGCCATTCCACTGAATCTACAGTAAGGCTGACAAAAGGGCCTTCAATCCCCCTCCCTACCCCCACTAAAATGACCATAAATTTCAGAATTCCACGATTTGAACCCCGGCTACGCTCACTATACATCATTCGAACATTCCAAGAACGTTATGACTGCCTCATGCCTCATATTCATAGTAAGTCAAGAATTTTCAGAATTTTTTGCGCATTACCATCGTACCGTACTCTCAGGTGTCATCAGAGCTTCGTCTGCGTTGTCCCATAGCAAAAAATTTAAACAATTACTTGCGCTCATCCTTGCCATTGGAAATTATCTCAACTATGGAAAGCGTAGTGGCAATGCATATGGTAGGATTTCCGTATAGAACCCGTCGGGAAGCTAATCAAATTTTTCTAGGATTCGATCTATCCTCGCTGAATCGTCTCACTGATGTAAAATTCTCCCATCGGTCCGATCGCAACCTCCTTCACTACATCTTACAAATGGTGGATAAACGGTTTCCTGAACTTGGAAAGTTGAGACGAGAGTTGTCGGCTGTGTATGACGCTTCTCGATACAAGTGAGTGCTCCATTATCCCAGGTTCTGCTCGTCGATAATAAAAAAAAATACAGTTTTTCTCAATTTTTGTTATGATTATTTCGCTATCAATCCTGCGCTGTAAGAATTTAAAAAAAATAGAAAGACTACTGTATCCTTTTGGCATTTGCTACGTAGGTTGTGGTTTACTTTCCCTTATTATTTGGGTAAGTCAACATTGTATGGCCCGAGTTACTGATGGGTAGAAAATGTTATGTCACCGACTGGCTCCACATCGCGCACAACTGGTACGCGTTCATATCCGTAGTTTGTGGCAGTAGTCCGAAGGGCGGAGCCTATACTTAACGTGTTCTACCCGCTGTCAATGTAAGTCAGTAATTGATGTAGGTCCAATGTTTCAGCCCTTGCTGTCTCCTCCGCAATGTTAGCTAAATAGTGGAGCACTGAAAAGAAATTTTTAGGACAATAAAATATTCACAAAAAATAACCTGTGTACCATAAAATTATCAAAGTGAATATTTTCTCTCCAAATGTCTGGAAATAAGAATAGTCTTTGAAATTTTTCCAATGTGCGTATACCTAACAGCACGCCCCTTTTTGTTCCGGTTCTGATGATGGTGTCTTTTTCAGCCGCAGTGATGTTTTGGCCGAAATCCGCAGCCTAGAACAATCCATAGCTGCCGTTCGTACGGAGCTGGCCTTCGTACAAGAAGCGGCTCGTAAAGTGCAATTACCAGAAGAGAAACCTGAAGACTGCAAGGGAGTAAGTTCGATTAGCCTACCACATCTTATCCAAGAATGTGGTTAACCTTTGCAGGATTGCTTTGAGACGGTAGCCAAGGAATTCATTGCTTCAGCAAGTGAACAATTTCTTGTTTTGGACAAACTTCATAGTGAAATGAAGGCTAAGGTGCTCATAACTTTACGTTTTAAATTTTAGAATCCCTAAGTTACTATTTTTGCAGTTCGCAGCACTTGCCAAACAATTTTGTTTCGATTCGGTAAATCCCGAGGAGCTGTTTGGTTGTTTGGCGAAATTCCTTACGGCATTTTCTGATGCTCAGCAACAGTTATGGGCCGAATGTGAACACCAAGAACAAGTAAAACGACAAACTCTTGCAAGGGGCTACTTTGCAAAGAAAGGTATGTGTTTATGGACATCTTTTCCACTCAAAAAGTGAAAAAATGAGTTCAAATTGGGCTAGATTTAGAGGTGGCGTGATCTATTTGTCAATAATTGTAATTTTTCATCAAGCTGGAATATCCAGATTTCTCAAGCGACATCAATCTTCTGCGAATTTAGCGATGTTTTGATTTGAGAAAGCAAAGTAGCGACACCATGAGGGACGTTACTGACAATTTAATTCCCTCATGATCATAGAAATTTGGGGAGTGGAAGGCGACTATTTGGATGAAGGGGCGTGGCGGGAGCTATATTTGATTTTTGAGCCTTTTCTTGCGCTTTAAATTCGCCAGAATTTAAAGCGCAAGAAAAGGCTTAGCTTTTTAGCTAACATAGCTTTTCCTCACAAAGCTTTCTATTTTTTTAGAATTTTTCAAGCCTACCTGGTTTCAATCACAGATAAAAATTCTATCCATGAATGTGAATTAGAATATAATTATCTGAATTTTTTAGTCTCCCGTCAACGAGACAGCGATCGAGATTTCGATCAGCTGATCAGTGCTCTTCAATCCGGGGACTTGTTCAAGGATGATCTTAGCCGACTGCGAACTTCATTCCGAGTACCGAAAAATGGCAAAGTGAGGTGCTAATGCGATTTATCGGCAACACTGACAGTCTCTGATGGACCGGCAGGAAGTAGCTAAATCATGGGATTGGAGATCTTCCGGTGATCTACAAAATCTCCGAGAAGCCACACACAATGCTGTGGCTCCTCATTACGAACGAGTTCAAGTTTTAGAGTCATTCTAGCTCAACAGAAAACGATTGTATTTACTGTACATTTCACTAACTTCGCAGATTTTACATGTTTTTTTTTTTCGTGATATTTCACCCTTTATAAGTGTTCGTCATAGACCTTGAGTGGTTCAGTGAAATGTGGGTATGTTTGTAATTGCATTATGTGATATAAAGTTTGATATCTATAAATATTACCTTATAAATTGTACACATGATCTATGCAGAACTCTAGTTGAAATTTCCTGAAAAGGCATTAAGCATTTATGTCGCTGTGATCTCTGAGTTCAGATATGTAAAGTCGACTGCACGAAATCGCCCGGGTCGCTGTAGGTTGAACGCACGCGAGCGTACCTGCAAGGCGGCTGTCGAGTGCGGGTGCTATGATGACTCGTGGCGCGAATGCCAATGTTAGCCCGTAAGAGGCAAGCTCGCGGTCGTTCAGTCCGGGCGATTCCGTGCAGTCAAATATAGCACTAATCAAAATAAGTAACACTGACCAGTATATCCCATAATATTCCCAAGTTCTAGCAAACATGTTCAAATTATGGTACGAGCTAACCGAGGTTCGCTAGCGCGAGTTCCAGACGTATAGTTCCAGATATCCATAGCGCGCTCTGAGGTCACGGCGGAATGAACCAGTTTGAATGTGAGGTTGCAAACATTTAGACTGCTACTCGTCTACCGCTTTCGTTGCTCTCATTCATTGCTTATTTTGTCTTATTTTGACTCCATTTATAATCTGCACACTTTGTTGGAGTTTTAGTCTCCACTTTGTTCACTTTTCGAAGCTTCCTTGAGAACTACTGATGAGAGGCACCAAGAAAGCTGCACTTCCGATATAATTCTTAGCCTCGCCACCGAATGGTGTAAAATTGCCATAAAAATGTTTTATAATGAAAATTATCTTCAGTTTTTTTCATCACTAATTTGCTGAATACTCGTCTGTTCCGATATTTTGTTATGAGGGGGGGGGGGGGAGGGAGGGAGGGGTAGGAGGAGTCAACAGAAACAACTTATCCGAATAACCAAAAGAACAATGTATAGGCGCCGTAAAACCTAATTGCCCGCGCCGTGCCTTGAACACCAGCGCAAGCGAGCGGTCATCGCGAACGACTGTCGGCGTTCACCATATTCCAAGAATTCTTTCTTTAACTTGTTGTTCTCGTCAATGCAGGGTATATCTTGACGAAAGCTCCCTTCAAAAGTTTAAAAAATATGTGTGGAAAGGGTGCGCGCTCATTGTCGCTCGCAAAACGCCTGTAGCGCTTCGGGACCAAACGTACCCAGCCGCGCCGTGCGTTGGTGTTCAAAGCGACGCGTGGGCAACTGGATTTTACGGGGCCTGTACTATATCAGGCTGCCGGTGTCTTTATATAGCGTGAGAATCCAAAGCAAACGTAGATCGATAGTTTAATCGAGGCAAAATCAGCGGCACAATTACGAAATATCTGACCAGATATCGATCCTTTACACAATAAATTTCGTAAGACTAAGGAGATACTCTGACCTACGAAATAGCAGACAAGTGTAAACCAAGTGCTTGCAAGCTAATACTAACATGTATTAGGTTGGCACATAAGTTTTGCAACTTTTCCCGTAACTTTTTTCCTATTTCATGTAGCAATCTCATTTTGTGGCGTCATGTAGACCGTGATGTAAGCTGCAAGTCTGCGCAAGCCGTTTGATTTTTGATAACGTAGTACAAAAAATCTAAGCATTTTTTGAAAACTGCTGAAAATCGAGGTTTCACGATTTTTTGGCAAACATGAAGCCCTACGAAACCTGATTCAAACATATGAAAAAGCAATTTTAGGCTGCATGTAGCTGGAAGTTGGCACATTGGAATCAGTGAAAAAGAAATGAAATTTAAACACAAATTAAGCTGAAGCGCCTTTGAGAAGTTGAACAAGTCAAATGCGTCAAGTTTTGAAGGCAATTTGTCAATAACTAAGCTGCGAAAGGTCAGAATTCGCTATAACTTTGCACTATGGGGTAATCCTATGCGGTAAACACGAATATCATATTCATTTGTCGCTAAAATGAAATTCATTTTTTGATCTCACGAACGAGGCCTTTTCATGCGAAACGGATCTCATTTTTGTGATCAGCATGTCAAATAAGCCCTATAGGCCAAGTTTCAGCAAAATCTGATGCATTCTAAAATTTTTCCCATAGTACAGTAAACCTACCGTAATCCTCACATAAGATGGTAAAATTCGGCAAAAATGTGTGCATTAGAAGCTTACATCATATCTTATATATAAAGCTGAATGTCTGTTTGTCTGTATGTATGTCTGTATGTCTGTATGTATGTATGTATGTATGTATGTACGTATGTTCCGAATAGAAAATTCCATTTCTGAACCGATCCGGACCAAACTTGGCACACATACACTTCGGGCCCCGGCGGGTGTCATAGGCTACTTTCCGTCATCGATCGATATCGATTTTATCGATTTTTATCGATTTTTTTGCTGAGTTAACCTACGGGGCTGGGAGTTGGCACAGGGGGGTAATCGAGCATGGGGATTCCGAATACAATATTGGTTTTCAGGATTATCGATTACTTTTATCGATTTTGTCGATTTTTTGTAAAATTTGAGCTAGGGGGCTGGAATTTGGCACAGGGGTGTAATCGAGCATGCTGATCACCCCCCTTGGGGATGATCAGCATGCTCGATTACACCCCTGTGCCAAATTCCAGCCCCCTAGCTCAAATTTTGCAAAAAATCGATAAAATCGATAAAAGTAATGGACGATCTTGAAAACTAATATTGTATTCGTAATCAGCATGCTCGATTACCCCCTGTGCAAAATCCCAGCCTCGCATGTCAAAATTTACAAAAAATCGATAAAATCAATAAAAGTAATCGATAATTCTGAAAACTAATATTGTATTCGGAATCCCCATGCTCACTTCCCCCCCCCCTGTGCCAACTCCTAGCCCTGTAGGTGAACTCTGCAAAAAAATCGATAAAAATCGGTAAAATTGACATCGATCGATAACGAAAAGTGGACTGTGACACCCGCCGGGGCCCGAAGTGTATGTGTGCCAAGTTTGGTCCGGATACGGCGGAGCCGGGTAAGCCAGCTAGTTCCTTATATTTCCAAAAAATGAATGCGCTATGTTTAAATAGACAAAAGTTATATAAAAAGTTGCATTACCTATGTGCCAACCTAATACTTGAGACTTTGCTTCTTGTTTTGGCTCCGGTTTCACCACACGACTGCCTGACGTAACTCAGTACATATACATATCTCTGAAGAGTTATTTATACTGCACACAATCCTACACTGGGGCACCCAGCCGAACGGAGCACAGGCATATAGTATCACATAAAGACATTGTGTGGTATACTGCTGAAGTTTGATTACATATACTTGCAGGAAGACTACACAAGAGCGCGAAGAGAAGGCACAATGCACATTATATAGTCCGCACATTTAGCAAGTCTTGCAGTTACTACAGTTACCCAAAAATAGGGGGGGGATGAGTGGCACAATAGTATGAGGCGTGGATATGACCTGGTGTGACCCTCTAGGACTATACAGCGACTTGACTAACAAGGAGAGGATACTTAGTCGAAAGCACCAATCCAGATGAGACACATATCATCTTAAAGCGCTTAAGACGCTGATTCCAAATCTGTAGTTTCTAGCAGCGGAGCGGTTTTGTAGAAGGAGTTACGAGGGGTGTTTCCCTTTGGGGTTGATGCGCCCTCCAGCAGGTCTTCCCTTACCCTACTGGTACCAACTAGTAGCAACTGGCTAGTGGTAAGTAATTTGAATGAAGATTACATTGAGGATTATAATACTCGTATTACTTTGATTTTTTAAAAATTCCAATTCAATTAGCATCAATATCATTCGAAATTTCAGGCTTTAGTGCTCTAGAGCCATTTAAAAGCTCAAGAGTTGCAATAAAGTTGCGTGCGAAGGGGATTAAAACCTTGACACTCTCTTTATCAAACAAGGCACTTACCACTAGGCCACTTGCCACCATTTAGTACTCTACAGTACTCATAGATAAGGGGAGACCTGCTGGAAGGCGCCTCAATCCCAAAAGGAAACACTCCTCATAACTCCTTCTACAAAACCGCTCCGCAGCTAGAAACTGCGGTTTGGACTCAGCGGTCCGAGCACGCCCAGATGATATATGTCTCATCTGGATTGGTGCTTTCGACTAAGTATCCTCTCCTTGTAAGCAGCCCATACGGCTGGCACAGCCATCATTTGTGTTGCAAGTCCCCTACTACGTACGTGGATTTTGGATAACGGAAAATTATCAGTTAAGTTCCACTGCTTCTTATGAATACTTGCGTCAATGATCAATTGGGTATTGTAGGTTCGCCTTCAAATTTCATCTTGCTTTCTTAACCCAGGTTTTATCTGTGAACCTTCTGCTTCCCAGTGATATAACATCAATTGGTGTAAATATAACATTTGTTCGTTTAACTTGGAAGGTCTGTTGTGCATATTTGACTTACATATACATATATTTATATACATACTTATTTGACTTACTTGTTAGTGCTTTAATTCGCTCAATAAAGAATTCTAATCAACGATCTACAACCCTTCAACTAAAATGTCGGTGAAAATTATTCAAGGTGAGTGTTGCTAATAATCTCGAAAGAACCGTCGTTTTTCTGCGCCTCGCCATTTTTGATATCAAACATATTAAGAAAGGACATTGTTTAAGTTCATATAAGTTTTAACTCTGCAAGTTTAGCTTGACGAACAATCACTGGTTAAAGAAGTGTGTCTGCACTTACATGAAACATCCATCGTCATCGAAAAGTGATGGCGAAGCTATTTAGCGGAATTTTTTGGTACTTTCGCAATTTGTTTATAAAATATATATTAGCCAGTGGGCTATAGGGCTGCTTGTGCATAGTCAGGTGTTTGTGACACGATTACCACTACGGTTTTACAACACCTCATGACGAGCGTGCTGCTTTTTCGCAACTAGGTGCGCAAATGATACAGTGAAAACCCAGGTAGTATTTTGTTACACTGGCATCATCCCATATTTTCAGCTCAACTCTTAATTTAGATGTACGCGCCTCCAATCTGGCAATCACATTGATAGGTTTTGTTGGCGAACTTCATTCCACTATCGGCTTACGTTGTTCGTGGGATGTTAAACTAGCGACTATGCATTGTTCGTCTCGAAGCAGGGTTTCGGCCCGCAACAAGTGACCATTGAGTTCGATGCATGTTGGAGAGATGAATTCATCATAAAAACGTTCTACGCCAACAGCGTCTCAGAACATCTCACGTCTCACGTTTCTTGTCAATGAGATGAAGTACGAAATGGTTTTGTGTGTCTGCTTATTTTAGTTACTTTCATGCACTGCTACTGTTTGTTTCTACTGTTGAATTTTGAATCACTCGCTTGGATCGCACGAACTCAAATATTGGTTTTATTGCTTGCAGTTCGTTAAGCATCTGTTGAATCCTTTCATATATGCTGCACCTCATATAACATCGTTAGGACTGCATCGTGCACTCCAAGTAAGATAATTTGTTTTTGCCAATGCCTCTTATCTGTGTTTAGAAATAGTGCCAAGGCAGAAGAATCATTAAGGATTATAATATTTGGATAAGCGATGACATCGAGCCTCGCACAATTTTCGCCGGGGTCTCTGCAGTTGCACAAGGGTCATTTGACTAGGAGATCAAAAAGTGGCACCACTGCGCTCAGCATCACCTTCGACACAGACAGGCATTGTGCTATAAGCTCCTAAAAAAGTTACAGTATTGACTTACTAATCATCAAGCAGCTTTAGTGCAGAATGGCGTGGTAACATTATCGGGAGCACTCAGATATTGGCAATTCTTGATGTTGCTTCCAAAACTAATCACTATCATTGGCAACATGGTCTATGATGCACTGAGATGGTACGTACCCCTGAGATGGTAAGTACCCCCGTAAGGAATGCTGGCTTTGCTTTGAAACTCCTGCCACGCCGCCAGATTGGTGAAATTTTGACAAGGTTTTTTTTTTGAATTCCGTAGAGGTTAGCTTAGTTTTGCAAGAACAGAATTGGGGTTACAGCCACCAGAATGTTCTTAGGCGACCATAAGTTTTAGAATGATGCTACTTTGTTGTGAATGTTCATAGATGAAAAACGCAGTTTCTGCAACGGCGCGGATAAAGACTTTATTGGAGACAGGAACCTTCTAAATTTATGAATAAATCTACAATCCTTCCGCCTTGCTCCGATCTTGTTTTTTTGGGCATGAAATATGCACTGCGTGCTCCGCTAAAATTAATTCTTTAATATAGGTTTTATTGCGAGAAAGTTCCTTACCCATCGAATCTTCCTCCACCACCACCGCCGCAACTGCCTCCGCCCTCAACTCCAAAGTACACGCTCTGATTACCCTCGATATCATCCCATATGTCTTCCCTCAACATGACGTGGATTACGTGGCTTGGTGAGGCGCCGCCTCGCCTCGGGCTTGCGCCACGTTGCATGCGCATCTTCGGCGTGATGTGGCAACAAGAAGAACGTGGAAAAGCTTGCGCCACGTTGTGGTGAGCGCCACGTCGCGCCAAATGATGCGCTCGCAACGTGGCGCGAGGCCGAGGCGAGGCGGCGCCTCATCAAGCCACGTAATCCACGTCATGCATATGGGATGATATCGAGGGTAGCTGCTCCACCTCCACCATCACCGCCGCCACCGCTACTGTAACCGCCGCCCTCGCCACTGTAACCTCCGCCACCTCCTTCAGAAGATCCGCTGTAAAATAGAAGATATGGTACATGCTGTGTGCTCAGCAAATTTACAAGCGTACCCTCCTCCAGCGGAGTAGCCACCGACGCCGAAGTAAACGCTTTGTGCTCCTCCACCACCGCCGCCACCACCGCCGCCGTTGTAATCGCCACCTCCGCCACCACCGCTCGACGCGCTGCAAAAATGGCAATAAGTCGGTTTTGCTGGTACCCCATTTCCGGCTTACATAGGTTGTATAGCGGTCTTTGTGAAATCACTAACTGGTCTAATTGCAGTTCTTGTCTCGTCAGAAACTGGACGGATTGCCTTCGTTGTATCACCATGTACAGGGCAAATTGCAGTCCTTGTAAAATCTGATACTGGTCGCCACCACCACCGCCCCCGCCTCCACCGCCGCCACCACTGTATCCTCCTGACGTGAAGTAGACACTTCGAGCTCTGAACTTTACGTTTTCACTCCTTTTCAACACAGAATTATGAAAAACTGACCCTCCTCCGCCACCGCCACCACTGGCTCCTGGCATCATGTACTGACTAACGGCACCTCCGCCGCTGCTGCATTCACCACCGCCGCTGAAATGAGTCTTGAAGTTGATCAGTGTATTCGGTCATGTTCTTAACAAACCCACGTCCTCCTCCACAGCCGCCACTTCCGCCGCCTCCAGCTCCTCCGGCTCCTTTGGATGCTCCCGACATGAAATATACGCTTTGTGCTCCCCGTAGCTCAAACTTTGCAAAAAAATCCGTAAAAGATAAAAGTAAGGGGTATTTTTGAAAACTTATTTTGTACTTATACAAGACAGACACACGTACATACAGACATTCAGCTTTATATATAAAATTGTGTATTCACTTACAAGTCTTAATGAGATTGTACGTGCGCGGCATTTGAACAAACTGCTGTAAATTTTGATTGAATCTGTTTACAATCGCAGAAAGCGAAATAAATATTGTGCATGTTGGCAAAGCCGTTAGATACCGCGCTTTCTCTTCCAAGGACATGTCAGTTCTCATGACTGTAATTATGACTGGCGACTAATTTTTTCCACACTTTTTTCTACACATATTTGCTGGTAAAGTTATCTGCTTTCATGTGTACATGTCGTCGATTTTTCAATGGGTACATTATTTCACTAGATGGAAAATCTCAAGATTCACATTCATGGAGTATTCCAGGATGAAGCAGAAGAAAGCAGCAGGCTATCCGCCATTCCATGGAGAAACCTGTTGAGCATCATTGACTCACAATGCTTACTAATACAATATTAATCTCTAGAATTACCAATTACATTTATCGATTTTTTGCAAAATTTGAGCTACACTCCTGGGGGCTGGCACAGGGAGGTAAGTGAGCATGCTGTTCACGAAAACATAGTGGAGGCAGGGTACTGCCATATGGAGGTGAAACTGGGACAGGATAATATTGTACTGAAATAGAAAATGGTGATTTCTATCACAGTAATTGGCAGAGCTGGGCGGAGCCGGGGGTGGCAGCTAGTAAGCTTATAAAGTTTTCCACTTCATTTTATCTATCACTAAGTTTAACAGAACATAAGCTTTAGTGCAGCTTTCCTTTCTGCACGGTGTAAATTTTTTTTTTGTTATTTTTTTCTGTTTGAGTTTCTCTGGCATACCCTCTCTCTTACTTACAAGGAGAGGATATTAGTCGAAAGCACCGATCCAGATGAGACATACATCATCGTGACCTGCTCGGAGCGCTGATTTCAAATCTGGCAAAATTAGCTGCGGAGCGCCTTTGGGTGAGAAGCTATGACCGTTTCAAGAGCCAAAAATTGAGTGGGTGAAGAGAGTAAAATTGATTGTTACAACATGTATATTTCGCAGATAGACTCGCTTTGATTGCGAGTACAGCAGACAGACATTTTTCTTTGCGCAGAGTAATTTGACAGACATCACTCCCCCATTCGAGCTCTACTGGAGACTTCTGCGTACAATTTTTTTCTTCCCTCGACTTCAAATTTTCTTCACAAAAACAACCATAACTCGTTGTCCAAAGGCGCTCCGCAGCTAATTTTGCCAGATTTGAAATCATCGCTCTGAGCACGTCCAGATGATATATGTCTCATCTGGATTGGTGCTTTCGACTAAGTATCCTCTCTTTGTTAGGAGCAGAGAAAATTCAAAGTAGTAAGGCGGAGCAACAGTTGCCATAGCAGCTGCAGCTTTCATATACTTATCTTAAAGGCAGTGTCTCACCAAAGTTGAGGTCGCGCGGATCTTCACATATTCTATTATAGGGACCTCTAAGTAGGCCACTGCAACAAGTTCCACTCAATTTGACCACTTCCACGCTGAGAAAAATTCGCTCAAAGTGGTACGCGGAGAGCGACTTGGTACACGCGCACGACTCCTTCGGTCTCCCCCCTTACGCGTTTAAACATGTCCCTCCACCTGGAATCCACCTCCCCTCTGTTGCTGCCACTGGGATAAGGCTGAAGTTGGAAAACACAACTCGTCCACGTTGCTTCGCGGGGCCTCCAGAAAACGGGGTTTTTGAGAACTTCGTGCGATTTTAAGCCCATGCAGTGCTAAACAGGGTCCGACAGGCTTGCAAATTGCAAAAATCTCGGCAACTAAAATTTGGTGAGACACTGTCTTCAAAGGTTTGACAAAGAAATAACAAGCAGTTACAAGCAATTCTTCAGCGACATCCCCCTTGTTTGACAGTTTCCCTTTATTTCCTCTTATCACTTTATCGCATCCGTATTGCAGGGCTTTTATTTTTGGTTCTAGCTGGAAGGTGGATGATCATAACATTGTTACTGAAATGTAATAGACTTAGAGTAAAAGATAATGCAAGAATTCAAGAAGAAGTGGATGACAAACATGATAGACAAACATCATAGTGAATTTAGTTTTTGGAAGTGAGTTTTTCGCTTGTGATTTTGGTGATAAAGGACAAAGGATAAATAATTCGGTGTTTTCAATACTCTCTGCATGCACCAAAGGCACTCTACTTCATAGTCGAAGCGGCTGCTGAATGCGTGCGGGCCTATTACAGTGACCTGCGGGGATCAGCACTCCCAGATTACTATTACTTGGTACCAATTTATCGGTCCCGAATGGTGAAGGGCGTGGTTGACTAAAGGCAGAGTCGAACCTATGTCCGATCTGGTCATAGCGGCGCCTCATACCATTACTCCACTCGTCCACCGTCCCTGAAAAAAAATAAAAGATTTGATGATGGCTATCAAACTTCGGATAGCTTTCAAGCTTAACTACTATAGACAACATTTCAAAGCTCCTTTTGCCCCTGAGAGTGTCCGTCCATTCCACACTGAGTATTACAAGAAGACTTGCGTTTGAGATGATCCTGTAAGCAGATTGTGCAGATCATTCCCTATCATAAGAACAGCCAACAGCCTTTGATCATACTCTGAAGACACATTTATCAAAATCAATTTGTCGTCCACGGTTTCATTGTGAGTGACATTTGGCCATAAACAAAAGACGGTGTGGGTGGCTTTTTTACGAGTTCATTATTGCACCTCTAAAATGTTGAATGACTCATATGCAGATGTTCCAAAGGCATCTATTTCTTTTTCACAATTCTGCGAAAGTTTAAAATTTCGAAGTACTAAGTTTCTGGACTAGGAATAAAGTGTATGCACCAACCAACTTTTTCCATTTTGCAGACAAAACCGTTAACGCGAACATATTTAAAAAAAAACCATTAACTGCTATGTCTCTCTATTCGGTCCATTATCTTTCCTCTTGCAAAAAATAACAAGAAAGAACAGAACCTCAAACATATCAATTGAACTTTAGAGTTGGACTTCAAATCTCACTAACTAAAACTGCGTAGCGTTGCTTCAGTGCGACAATGGCTTTTATAGGCTATTAGTGCTGGCTTAGAGCAACTTGTAAACAGGCCAAGTTGTCATTTCGTACAAAGCACGCAATATTTTCATCGAAATTTCATGAACCTAGACGCCTTGAAACAAGCTTTGATTTTATTTCTGCACTCTATGTACAATGGAAAATGGATAACTTTGTTAACATAACCGACCATGTTTCAAACTTGAGGGTATCCAAGGTGCATCCACAGTCACGTTTCAAACTAACAAAGGATGTCGCTAAAGCGACCGTGAAGTTGAAGTAAAATATGATTAGATCTATTGGATATATATTGTTTTATTTGTATTTCACTTTTTGTGTTGCGAAATCCTTTTGTGTAGGACCATTATCCCGCAATGGAAGAAGTCGGCCAGACTAGTGAACACAAGTCATTGCGAACTCCCCATCAGTCTATCATTCCCTTGACTAAACCTCACTTGGCCGAACTTTAACATATCAGTTGATAATGATTACATATACAATCAACAATGATCTAGAGGGTATAAATCTGATGGATGAGTAAGGTCAGGCTATCTTCTACAAGTTCTTCCTACAAGTTGGGGAGTAATCTGAGGACCACAAGTTTTCTCTATGAAGCACCCGCGACACAAGTTTGACAGGGCTCTACTCTCATTTGTGTGTTGATCAACATCTGTATTTAATTTACATTAAAAGTGTTTTGGTTACCTTTGAGGTAGCACACAGTCCGACTAGACCCGCGTGGCAACATAGACTTATCGAGCTGTATATTTTTTACAAGATTAAAGATTATATTTTATATTTCATATTATAAGATTATAATTTTTCAAGAATATATCTTCTGTAAGATTAAAAAAACACAAAATCTATGAGTTCCGTGTTCTTTCTTCTTTGTACCTTAGCATTCAAGAGTTAGTAATTGTTATATGATACTATGCCAGTGCCAGGTTTGTACCGTGGAATTCTTTATTGGCCTTACGGTTCGAAAATTTTGTCTTCGTCGGAGGCCTGAAAGTAGATTAATTGCGGTGTCCTCTGCGAAACCAGACTGCCAAACGCCTTTCCGCACTGCCGAGTCTAGATCTCATCCCGCACTCAACATACTTGAAACATGTTGATCAGAAAGCGAACCTTTATCCACCATAGTGTAGAGTCAGTAGAGTCAGTACTTAGCCACACCGAAGAGACAGACCACACTGAGTCTCGCTCAGCATTCGGCACTTTCATACGTGCAGGCTATCGCTCACAGATCGTTAAGACAGGCAAGAGTTTGGCTGTTATCGACACACATTCAATTCTGTTATCCATGCTAAGATTTCTGAGAGAAATCCAGGCTGCCTCGATGGTCTTTGTCAATGTAATATCTGACTCGTATGATATGATAGTGCATTTAACGTCAAATTCATAAATTAAGTACTAATTAGCCTGAATCTGTGCTATAAGTGAACAACTTCGGCTTCAACTATGGTTCACAGAGCTTCGTGATGGATGATGAGACCCTAGATAGAAGTTTTGAATTTGGAGGGGATTGCAAGGCGATCAGCTTGTCAGCTTGATCAGGTTTCAAGTTCGTGATATAGCTGTATTTGCTGCATACTACATATTGGCTGGCGTTTTCGTCCCGCTGGGAACGTGAGGTTATGTTGACCTAGTGGAGTTTTTCATTCCCAATGAGTTCAAGGATTTTCCATCCCAAGGATTTCCTCTGCTTTTCTTCACTTTTGCAACGGTCCCCCTCTTCTTCCTTGCTCATGTTTCAGATCTGCGCTTAGCGCTCCTGTGGTTGCTGCGGTATACTTGTCTTCCTTGCTAGCTGCATCTCTTCGCAACACTGCAAATTCCTCACAGCAAGATGTAAATAAGATTTACAGACTTTGTTAACATGACTTCACAAAATGCTTGTTTAAGGCATGATAAGCTTTCATTTCTCAAGAAAGTAAACGAATCAATAAATTGATAGGAGGACCGAGATGCCGCAAAAAATAGCTCAAAACCTGTGCAAAGGTCGAAAGCACATGTGTGCAAAGTTTCAGCTCAGTCGGTTAGGTTTTGCGTGTTTCTATAACGCACACACCCTCCAAAAGGACAATTTTTGGGTTTTGTATTTACAAAGGTTGCCTTTTTGGAGAGCAGGCAGTAAATGGTGCTTCACTTTGTTGATCCTTTTTGCAACTTTTCACTTCAATCCAAATCGTCTCAGGCACGCAAGAATCAATAATCTTTATCGATACTAATGAACAAACAAAACGACTGAGCAATATGATGAATGACGACGATCCAAATAACTGAATAATATGGACTAGAGAGCAAGACACGAGAGAGAGATTGCATGGAGAACATTTAGTGACCATAAAAAGCGAGTGGGGCAAAATACAAACGAGCAAGAAAGTACAAAAGAAAGCAATGTGACCGTAGTGGCTTGGCACGAATTTGACGAGGCAAAGGTTGAGTGCGAGACACTTCGATAGTGTGTGGGTGGGTTGCTCTAGGAGAAGAGCAAAACAAGCGCTGACGAGCGAAAAAAATAGCACTTTGTGGGGATTTGAAGACAGTAAGAAGGCAATGAAGGCGATCGACAATTCGATCACAGCATAAGTGACAATGCGGATGTGCGGTCAAATTCAGTTATGTTAGTTGAGAGCAAGCAGCAGACGAATTGTGAAGTTTGAAGGACTGGAAAACATACACTAAAAATACATAACTGCAAAATTTACTTTAGTATGATAGCAGTCACAGTTGCGAAGAGATTGCGGGCACTTCAATGTCTATGAGTCTTGAAGTCATGTCTACTATGACAAATGTGTCCGTCCACCGCGACTCAGAGGCACCGTATCGCTGGACATCGGTCAAGTGCTCTGGTGCCTACGAGTGGTTATCACTTTACTCACCCACAGCTCAAAGGCATCGTCGGACAGATGGTGTCACGCGGACAAATAGTCCTAGGCACTCTAAAGCCTATGAGTCGTGAGAGGTACTCAATACACAACTCAGACTCTAAGAGCCCTGTTGCCAAATAATCAGCTCGCGAGCGCTCTTATGCCTATGAGCTGTGACCATTAGGACCAACGCCTCGCGACTCAGAAGCATCGACGCCAAATTGCCATCTATTCGCAGCTCGACTGTTAATCAAAAATGAGCAGTAAAGGCGTCAAATGCGATGAGTATGGCAGAAATATTACAAAGCAAAGTAGTCAAAGAGGTTGACGCTTGAGTTCTCGAAATTTGATTTCTTGATCGCTCCATATATTCCAGACATCAGCTATATAACAAATGCGTATGCGTCCACCGGCGCTACGCCTACGAGTCAACGGCAATTGTAACAAGTCGCCGCGACCCAAAGGCATCGGCGCCTGTTTCCACATCAGCAACGCTACTACAAGAAGAAAACGTACTTCAGCGTCAAGCCTCTGTGACCGCATTGTCTATGATTTAAGCACGTATGAATTAGACAACACATCCGTCTAGTTTTCAAATATTATTCGCTACAAAATGACTAATTTAGCGACACACTTCAATGCACTAAGACTTAGATGAAGCTCTTGGGAAGTTCAGGAACTGATATCGTTTCCGCCTAAAAATTCACCAAATCAACCTATTCTTGCTAGAAAATTTGCGAAAATTTTTTACTTACTTATAGAACAGGATTGGTTTATTATTGTCTTCCAGTGGAATACGGAATTCTTCTTCAGTTCCATTATTATGCAGCCTTAGCACAGTTTCGGCAGGAGCATGTACAACAGATCGTTGAACAATTCCATGTCGTTGTGGAGACATGGATTGTTCAACAGGTTGTGCGGTGGTGTTGTTGGTGTTAGTGACGCTTGGCAGTGGAATCTGTGAAGGGGATACTGTAGGCATACTGTAGGTATACTGTAGGTAAACTGTATGTAGGAACACTTACTCTTATGCCACTTTCGATGCTTCTCCTTCGTAGCCTTCGTTGTCGTCGTTGTTCTTTTTCATCATCGTTATAATCTGGCGTATCGACGGTGGCTTCAACTTTCGTGGAAGCTACGGCTGGCGATATTCGTAGACCAGTGGAAGCGCTATTGCGCATTTCTAAAAAAAGAAAAAATTGTCTCAATAACAACTTCTAAGAAAAAAAAACGAAAAATAAAGCATTCATTATTCTGGTTTCAATTTTTCATTTTAGTTGTTTCAAGGCACCAATGAAAACGAAGGGCTAAAAGCTAGGCCATACGGATAAACACACTATCGTAACAAATCTGTGTGGGACCAAACTGAAGACATTTGAAAGTACCAAAATTCTAATAAAAACAGCATTCTGAGGAGAAATTAGAACGTACTTGTGGTTATATACTCAGGTAACTGACCGGAACCTTAGCAGAACGTTTGGAAAAGTTCTGTCGGGTCAGCTGCGGAAGTTCCGAAACCGAACAACAACAGCAAAAGAGAACACATTAGCGAATTTCGAACGTTGCTATATTGACCGTGAGACTTACTCATCATCCACCGCACTACGGAAAAGTCCTGCAGATGACTGGCAAGTCAAAGTGCTGCGGAACCGCTGGCAAATTTCGGAATTTCTGCGGCATTTTGTAAAAAAGCTTGAAGTTCCCGTTTTCAACCGATCTGAGAGGAAAATCCTGTCCTGCGGAAGTTCCCTTTCAACAATTCCACATTCAAAATAGTAGACAAAATCCTGCGGAACCACTGCAAATTTTGTTGTGCTGCGGAAGTTCCGATGAGTTGTCTGAGTAGTGGCACATGGAATCTAGCAAGAACATCATCTTCTTTTTGGAATAGCTATGGAACTTAGTAGGAGAAAAGGTACTGCATTTTCAAAAAAATCGAGCCTACCACCATCGTAAAGTTTTTCGTCGTGAATATCTCATGTAGTAGCGATGATTTGCATTACATAGCATTTTTGGATAAACTGAACCTGAAATCTTAGAAGACCGATTTTTCTGCTGTTTTTTTTTCAACTACAAACCAAAGGCTGCACTCGCAAGAGAAAGTTTGAAAGAACGCTTGCTCACAAAGATTAATGACTGAACGTTCTGAATGCAGCCAATCGCTCATACTCTGTCATGTCTGCCTTATAAATTACTAAATTCTTCCTCTTGTCCTCAAAATGAGTTCAGGCAGCTCAAGGCGAATTTCCAGACGCAAAAGTAGGCAGTTCTTTAGTTGATTTGACAAAAAGAAGTAAGAGAAGTGCAATATAGTATATCAACTTTGGTGGTGGTTTACATGTGCTAGACATACTTGTGCTTATTGTCACATGATTCCACCAGAGTAAAGTAAATTGTTTTTTCATAATAATCACCCGTTGCAAAAATGTCTTAAATATGTTCCCCACTTGTTTTCACGCAAATTTTACACCTTCTTTGTTCCAATAGGAACATTTTTTCTAGTGCGGTCCTAAAAAATTGAGCTATTTCTATGTATGTTAGCTAAAGAAACACAGATAATTCAATCTTATGAAAATGGTCTTCAAGAGAATTGAGCTTACTGTAGCTGGTGTCCCTCTCTCGTTCTTGTTCAGCTGTTGCTCTCGCCGTTTCATCGACTGATATTCCTCTTGTCAAACGGCTTCCGCATCCAAGGTTATTGAATGTCTTAAAACACATAATTTTCAAGGCATTACCTTGCAGCTGAAAAAAAAATTCGGAAACTTTATCACCAACACTTATCAATCCCTTGAAATGTGAGATGATGCTCGATGACTGAGGTGCACCACAGCTGTGCGTTCGATGCATAGGACCTCGTTGTTGTTGTTCTTTAGTGGAAGGGCGCCGAGCTAAAATGCAAGATTTTTTTTCCAAAACTCTCTTATATAATTCTTCTTTGCTGTGCATTTCCCTAGACTACAGAGTTTGTCATTAAGATCCACTATGCTCACCAGCTAGCGGAGAATAATGATTGGCAGGTGACAAGACTTGTGGTGGCAATGGTTGAGCGTTCGCTGCAAGATCGCTCCGAGATGATGGAATAACGCGATCTGAATTTTGAAAAAATAGAGGGATAGATTCTAATCAAATTGGAATGACTAACTGTTAGAAATGACAGCGACAGATGGCTCTCTCGTTCTGCTAACGTCCTTCATATCGCAAACATCATCGCATGAACCATCAAAGGAAGCTGAAAATTGCGATGAGATAGTGCCAAAATTGCATAGTGCTTTAAAATAAAGGCTGGCGCCAACGTCGTTCCAACACCGTACCAGCACAGCGCCAGCGCCGTTCCAGCACCGTGCCGAATGTCGATCAATACTGGCTACGTCCACGTAAGTTTCGGCACGGTGCCGGCACATGGGCGCTCTTGAGGTCACTCTATATGATTCACTCATTCACGAGAAATTTATCTGACTTCAGCCCAGACCGTACTCTACGACGCAATCGCTCGGAAGGATTACGGTGCTGGATGAGAATTTTGTGGCTTGCGAAGCTTTAAGTAGCTCTATGGTTTATCCGTAAAGAAGAAATTGCGGTTTTTTACTCTTATCCATCCTGTTCTCGAGAAACGGGTCTGCCCGTAAAGAGACGGTATGGGCGAGGATTCAGAAATGAACTTTTTTTACTTGGTTACTCCACTTGATCCGCTTTCTAACAAATAAGCAAACAAAACTGACTAACCATGCCATTTGCTTGGAACCGATGTTGCTCCAGTTTTTTGTACGCCGGACAACTCGTCCGCGACCGCTGCATCGCTGCTTCCCGTCATTGACAATTTCTTGTTGTATCGCTTATTCAACGATATCTGTGATTACTATTTTAGGTGGTCTGAAACCAATAGCCATTGAGTAAATGCATATCGATTACCGTCAACGACTTATTGCTCTTGTTGGTTTTGTCGATCGCATTGACTACGACCCGATTCGGTGACGTGTCAGCACCCGTTTGTGGGCGGAGCACGGTGTACGGTAGGTTGAAGTTCACCTGGACTACTGTGTAAAGCAATGGATACGGTAGACTGCGCTACGGGACTACCTCTACGTCATGTTGATTTTGCTGTTGATTGTCATTGACATTGTCATCACACGCAGCTAGCCGAGCATTTACCGCATCGATGATATCCATGTTGACCATTCCGACTTTGGGCCTAAAATTCAACAAAATAAAAAAATAGACTGCTCAAACTCTTGAATTGCCTGTTGTGTATCTTTCCTGCGCATAAAGCTTAATTTTTCTATCAAAAATGCATGGTTGTGCTAGCTTTGGAATTCTTTGTCGAAATGTCGCAAGCCAAAAAGGGGCGTGGTTAAGGGCGGAGTCAAGCGCTCGCAGTGACAATGACTTCACTACAATGACAGAAAACTCAAGGTGGTCCTTTTGCATTGTCAAAGTAGGCTAGTTTACTAGTATAATTACTGATGCTTGCAGAAGGTTGTGGGGAGGGGGGGGGGGAGGGGTGAAAGGGGGCGATTTTTGAAAAGAGAGGCATGTCAGTAACGATTTTTGGGGAAAAGGTCCCCTAAAGTTTCTCACGAAGTCATGCATTATAAAATCTTTAGAAGTGATTCAATAGTACAAAACCTAACACAAAATCTATACGATTTCATAGCATAGATAGTGTAGATCGCTGTCAAAAATGTCCCCAAAACCCCTCCCTATCTATGGAAACTCTGTGCTCGAATCTGCAGTTACTGATGAAATTTTCCTAGAATTTTTGGAAGAATTTTTCAAAGTGACATAATAGTTGTTTGAGGCAAGGGAAATGGAGAGCTTCAGGTTTTCGTTTATGAGCATCAACTCAACATTTGGACATTTTCACATTTTCAAAAAGCCTTTATAAAATAAGCCCTTCATATGACCTATAGAAAACTCCAAGGGGACATATAATAGCCTGGAAGTTTCAAGCACCACATTCTGTCCTAAAAAGAGAATAAATCGCTTTGTTTACTTACTTGAGAAACTCGTGACGCTTGTACTTGGGCTTTTCGTGCTTTTCGTGCCCAGATTCGACATTATGCACAATTTGAGGACATTGACCATTTGTCTGTTCGTCTTCATCTTCACCCATCGTTATCGGTGCTTGCGTATCAAGCGCTCTGAAGGAGAAAAATAAATTCTTGATAAAATTGAGGCAGAATTTCTTGCTTCAGCTATGAGTCAAAAGTCCCATAGTGCCAAAAGAATTTGCTTCAAAACTTTGATAAAAATTTCCGTTTTAGCTATCAACCGAAAGGTCTTCAACGTCAGACGAAATGAAGAGAAGTGAAAGACCTTTCTGTCGAAGCAGATAGGAAGCTAATAGGTTTTGAAAAAATGGAAATTTGCAAATTTTTTCGTTTCTGCTGTAGGTAAAAATTTTCGCAGTACGGACGGATAATCAATGAAAAGCGGAAGAAATTTCCTGTTTCTATTGTAGGTTAGGAGCGTAGGCGAAATCCAGAGAAAAATTACGTAAAATTTCCAGCTTCACCTCTGGGTTAAAACAAAAGCGCGTTAGTGTGGTTGGTCCCAAGGCATGGTTTCCAGGAATCCTCTTCAGTTGTGATTTAAAAGTTTTAAGTGTACCGATTCTAGGAGGAAAAGTGCTGAAATTTCTTGTTTCTAGTGTAAAAGGAAAGCTCAAATGATTTTGGGAGAGTTGAAAAAATTTTCTGTTTCTCATATAGGTGAAAGCTCCCTTAGTGCATTGAGAAGTGATTAAATCCTTCTTCTACTGTGGGTTGAAAGCGCAAACCAAATTCAGGGAAAAATTTCGTAAAATTTCCCGCCATTCGTAGGTCAGAAATCCATTGCTATGTATGACCTCAAAGGAAAAGGATGAATTCCTTGTTTCTGTCGTTATTTATATGCGTAAAGAAAACTAGCATTACGTAAAATTTTCCGTAATTACTGTAGGTCAAAATGCGCAGTACTCAAAAGAATGGAGAACGAGATGGAATTTTTTCTACTGCATGTTGACGCGCAGATGAAATGAAAAAAAAATCATGCAAAATTTCCAGATTTAGCTATAGGTCAAAGTTCGCAAAACTTACGACTGCAAAGGTGAGATTTGAATTTGAAAAATTTCTTTGAACAAAATCTTCTGCTTGTGCTGTCTTACTTCAAATAAAAAAGGACGAGGTTTGGAAAAATTACAGTAATATTTCCCGCTTCAACTCTAGGTTAAAACAAGAGTTCGTCAATGCAGTTGATCTAGTGAGAATGTTGCTAAAAATTTCCAGCTTTGAGTTGAAGGCCCCTAGTGCTCTTGGTTTAAGAAAAAATTTTGCTACAATTTCCTGCTTCACGTGAAAGTGAAAAGCCCCTCAGCGTTCTCCCTCACCTGTTCTCATATCGTTGATCGCGAATGACAGCTGTTGTGTGCGATTTGAGCCGTGCCGACACATTGCCGTTCGCTCGTCCACGACCAGATAGATTTTCGTAGCCAAGTTCCCAGTCGTATGGTTCGTCCATTGAAATTGCGTTCCTGACATTTTTTCAGGTGAAAAAATGTGGTAGAAAATGACAAGGGTTTAGGACTTTGTCAGTCTAATCCATCAAAATTTTGAAGTTGAAGAAAGCGCAAAAAAGTTTGTTTCTGGCCAGTGCGGAAGTCTTAAGAATAGAAATAAGTAAGAGTTCTAGACAAACAGAAATGTTCAACAAAATCTTGCATAAAAAGTCCGTATGTTTCTTATGTGATGTTTGAAGGGAAAGCCTTCACTAAGCTATTGCCCAAGTGACGGCTCATAAGACTCAGTTGCGGCCGAGAAATTCAATTTCAAATTCTCGCCCGGTACCGTATATTGATCGATGCTCGAAGAGGAGTACGGTATTGGGTGGAGGTTTATTTTCGGCCAAGAATGAGTCTTATGATCTGCCGCTTGGCCAAATAGTTAGCTAAAGCCTTCCAATCATTCCCTTCATCTACCAAGTAGTAAGTAGTTGAAAACTTTCGCAATGGTAAAAAACATACTTATTGATTACTTGTATGAGCAAGCTTTCCAAAAAGTCATAGTCAGGCATATCCGGATATGTTAAGGTTTTCAGATGAGCTGCAAATTGAAATAACTCTCCAGGGCAATCTTCTAACAACACATTCAGGTCTACGTCCTCTTTCATTCGTCCAACCTAAAATTGGATTTTAGATTTTTAAAATTCGATAAAGAGCACGAAATGAGCTGGAAATGGGGCAAAAAACTGGAAAAAATCAGCAGAAAATTGCAAAAATTCATTAGGAAAAAATGGGTAGATCAAATGTACCTCGTCCTTATCCTTAATCTTTCTCCATGGTAATTGACCTTGTAAAAATTCAGCCATCATATAAAATAGCGACCAAAGATCATCTTGCCTGCCCATTTCCTAAAATATCCCCCTACTGAATTTCATTTCACAAAATTCAATCTCAACGCGAAAATTCGCGAACCTTGTTCTTATGTGCCGAAACGGCCGCATAACGAACTGTGCCGCGGAAGCCGGCGGCACTTCGGGGACTTCGAATTTCCCCTTTAGCGTTGAGATATTGTCGAGCTAGGCCGAAATCTAACATAAATACTTTTCGCATCGTTGACGTACTGCGTCCCATGGCGAAATTCGACTGGAAAGGAGAAAAAACGATGATTTGGAAAAGTTGAGAAAGATCCAAGTTTTGGAAGAGAAATGATTATATAACGAGTTTGAAACAGTAAGAAAACATAGATCCTGGTGCGAAAATAATTAAATAGCGATGATGAAACGGGAAAACTCAAACAAAAGTTCATTTTCGAATAATAACCCTCAATAACAAAGAATGAAACGGGAAAATTTTGAAAAACTTCAATTAAACAAACAAAATGCTAAAATATCTCAATCAAACAACATTCATAAAATTTAAAACAATAATAAATATCAGTTTTTATAGAAAAAAATGCAAATGAATCTTACCGGTTTGACATCTCTATGTAAAAAACCAATAGAATGTATTTCCCTAATTGCATTTAATATTTGTACACCCAATCGTATTGCAGTACTTAGACTAAAGCATTGTTTTGGTGCCTGCAAAGAAATTTGGATTACTGTAGGTATACTGTAGCAATGTAGTCAACACTTACTTCTCTCCTAAGATCAGCGAGATTCTTTCCTTGAAGGCTCATAACTAGATAGTTGAATTTGTCATTCCGTCCACACCCGTAAAATTTACACGCATGTTTTTTGCCTGGAAAACAAACAAGTAAATATTTTGCACCAATGAAAAATAACTGGATTACTGTAGGTAATGATTACTGTAGTGGGCATGATTTCAGTAACAAAATTTGAATTGCATGCCACTTTTATTAGTTTTTTTTTCATTGGCGTAAATATTTGCAACACAGTGCACCACTGAAAAGAAGTTTTCAATTACCGATTAGTGGATTACTGTAGATCGTGCATACTGTAGTGGGCATGGAAGAATTTGAAAATCGTACACTAAACCCTTTGCTAGCAGCTTTTCCTATGCTTCTGTCTAGACGAATTTACATTTTTCTCGGAATAGGCCTTTTTCCTAGGATCCGTGTTCGTTTCCGTTTCCTTCGCGCCAGACTTGAAACGGGAAATTTTAGGGAGGAAGTAAGCAGCACCAGTACAACTACCCAAAGATGTGCAAATTCAATTTGAACAGTGACGCAATGAAACATGAGTTACACCTTTTTTTCTATGAGGAACTTTTTTTCATAATATCTACTCCCCCCCCCCCTCCAAATTCCCATTTATCCCAACGAGGATTTCTTCGTCAAGGGGAACACATGATTACGTCAAGCACGTCACGACATTCAAATTAAATTTCCTACTCTGGCCGCCAGCTAGTCAGCAGTGCAGTGCATTGGTGCGATAACCAGCATTTTTCTCGGCAACTATGGAATTATCCAAGAAAAATGAGAAAAATAATTCTGGCCTTTGTAAAATGCGGAAATGCGAAATAAACAAGAAAATTGGCAAAAGAGAGGCGTATGACTTACCCTGAAGTCGGCGCAGTACAGCCACTTCCATTTTCAGCACTTGTTTTGCAGCTTTACTAGATTCAACCTATAAAAGAAAGAATTAATAAAGTTTTCCAAGCACGTAAGCGCTAAATAAAAAATTATAGTAAAAATCAATAAAAAAATTAGCGCAATAATAATTCGAATAGACTCAGTTGTCTGGCAAATAAAGTTCAAAAGTCGTTGGAAAAATCACAATTGTTTTGCTTACAAATAAAATAATCAGTTCAATAAACTAGTAAAATAATTCAAAATTGTCAAATATTTTCAGTTTCATGATGAATCTTTGAATTCAAGGAAACTTCAGACTTCAGTGCTACCCACGATCCTGGAATATTTTTGACGGTGAAAGAGAGAGAAGATTAGGTGCGGAGTTTTATAGACAAGAAATACAGAGCTATTAGATTTATTAATTTTTTGAAATTTCAGGATCAATCACTATTCCTCACGTTATTTTTGCATCTCTTCATCCCCAACATTTGAAAAAAAAAATTGAGGAGCATTATGAAAAGCTTATTCTATATTTTAATAATTTGATCTAAGGTCACCTGTTTGAACAGCCTCATATATGAGACTTCTAATATATTTAGGTTTATTTTTGATAAAACAGAAAGATTGTCCTTGAATTTTTGTTCTGATATTTTAATTTGCAATTTTCTCTTTTTTATTTGTAGATCAAAAGCCTTGTTTTGTTCGTTTGCTAAAACCAATAACATAAAATACAATTTCCTCTCCTTCATCTATACTTTTTTTTGTAAGGTAAACAAAAGAGTATAAACACATTATTCCAAGATTTATTCCGTCATCTTGAATTCTACCGTAAACTGTCTATATCAACAACTTTTTGTCCTACAAGTAACCAAGCAACGAACATCTTTTATTGGGACGCATCACCCTACCATTCCCATTCCTGAGAGATTTGCATTTTGCTCTTTGATGTAAGTAGACATGAAAAATGAGAGAGACAGAGTCAGTTTCACTTGTTGACTTCACTGAACTCATGGATTGGGACAACTAAGCCAGAGTAATCCCAAAATGACTTCTGAGTGACGTTATGACCAAGAAAAACGACGTCGAATGTCTGAAGTTGAAAGGTACCCTGCGAAAAAAAAACGAAAAAGAGAAAAATCTGCTCAAAGAAAAAAAAAGAAGATGTCTCAGACAGTATAGACTCTTCTCGTAAGATAGATAGGGATGAGAAGTAAAAACTTCCCGAATGCCAGAGTCCGTTTTTTTCTACCCGAATGATGGACGTTTATTTGAGTTTGCGAGTGATACACGGTCTCACTGCGACATGCTCATTCGTTACTAATGCGGATGAGAGTTCGAAAAAGAAGGAAGAAATTTTTTTTACAATTTTCGTACGTTTATTCAAATAGAAATATTATAGATTTTTATACCAACAGTACCATACTCAACACGACCATTAGGGAGTGAAGCAAAAATAGTCAACTTAAAGAAACAATAAAACCGTAAACTTTTTGTAACTGGTCAGAATTTTGTAAAATCAAATTTTTCTCTATAATTTTGCTCTTTGTAAGTAATAATTGACAGAAAAATTCCGCAAAAGCTGAAAAGCGTCAACTTTCTAATCCAACGCTTTTGTGCAAATACAAAGTTCAAAATACCAGAAAAATCAGTAAGAAAAAAAAAATAATACCCAGCATATTTGAAATTCTATCGAAGCTTATAACGGACGATGAAACTTTTGGATAACCACGACGTAAACTTTTTGATCTACCGCTTGTTGTGCAAGTGCAGAAAACTTCAAATCTTCAGAACTAACTGGAAACACTTGAAAAAACTACCGACAAATATGAATTGAATAAGAATATTAAATAAGAAGATACAAGAATATCTAAACTTCATGAACTGGGGCCGACCTGGAATTTGATAGGGTTTCGGCGAGTAATCTTACATAAACGTAATAAACTTTTTACAAATTTCATTATATCGAGATGTATTTTTGTTACAGCATACTTTACAATGGAAAAATATTGGCAACACTTGAGAAATCAATTTTTGTTGTCCACTGTCTCCTTTTAACTCAGTATGCGTTGAAGGGTATCTAGCCCGCTAAATCCCAATTTTCCTAACGACATATCATTTACTTTTTCATTATAAAATGCCAGATACATTACGAAACTTTTCAATTTCAAAGTGTTTACGTTAAATTCCCTAGAAACCAACATGAAAGCAAGATTTTTGTGGTTTTCGTAAGACCAAAAACTATATAGCACTTTTTCTTAGTTTTCCGCATTTTACCGCAAATTGCTAACTTCACCCACCACCCCCAATTTCTTAGGATTTATGGTTATCGAACTCCCAAAAGGGAAAGTTTTCTTTTCCCAGTAATTAGTGGTTGCGAAGTAAGGCTTTTTCATCATAATACCATGAAAAACAAAGTTGAGGGAAATTTTAGATAAAAATGGAAACTAAATTTGTGTTCAATTTTCCACCATTTTTTTCTTAACTAATGAAGGCGTAATTTGCAAAGCAGCATATTAAGAATACCCACTCAACCTCAGCCTACACAATGAGACGAAACAAAGGAATAGCTGATGATATAGTAAAAACTCACTTGCCACAATGACAAGGTTTGAGAGAAACCCATTATTCTTACAAGGATCTCGGAATTGCTAATTAGGGAAGTATAAAAAGTGAGAAAAGGGCCGCACATTGTGCAGAGGAAGGAAGTCTGAGCGGAAAATTGGTAAGGATGAGAAAAAGAAAGAGATAATTATGCCAAAATTCTTTTATAGAAGTTTAGCCTTGATTTAAAAAAAAAGAATTGTTGTAAAGTCCAGGAAAGATCAAAAATGGTAAAAAAAATAAAGAAACATGAGGAGAACCGCTATAAAAATCAGATCAAACAATCCCGAAAGAAAAATTCCAATTTGGACGAAGCATAACAAAACCTCTACTTTTTTGAAAAATAAAAGAAAGAAAGAAGTTTCTGCAGGCTGTGATAATCTTTGGCAGCCTGTTACTATTTGAGAAAAATAAACACTATCTGAGGGGGCCCTTAAAACCCAGTATAAATAGATAAAAAATGTAAAACAAAACGGCAATAAAAAAATAATGAACTTAAGCAATTTACAAATGAGAATTCTCTCATTTTGGAAAATTCGAGATTTTAAAAACCAAGTTGTTTATGTTTTATGTAACCTCCATAAACTTACTTTTACAGCTACCCGTTCGTTATGGTTTTGAATGTCGAAGGCCTCGTAAATCTCTCCGAAGCCACCGCCGCCTATTTTTTGTTTCTGAAAAAGAAAAACATGTGATGTTTAGAAGATGAGGGTCTCCGGGCAACATGGCACGACACCCATTTATCAAAAATTTTCTAGCCAGGACCCAACAAAAAAACTCAAAAACTCACGATTTTCCATCGTTCTCTAATGACCTGCGACACCTGTAGGATCTCGCCCTCGCTCGATGACGTCATTATCGTTGCATCCCTGAAAATTTGCACGAGATTATTTGGGACAGCCACGCCCACTTTGGGGATCACAAAGGCGCAAGAACGTGGACGACCTTAACCTCTGTTGTGTTAATTGCATCGATCCATGACGAAATTGTGTTAGATAGAATGATAGGTGTGAAAATCCAAATGGCATGGGGGCGCGTCAGAGGGGAAAAAAATTCGTGGAGGGGGGCCGCTACAGCTGCCGTCAGCTGAGCGCGGGGTGGGGGAACGTTGAAACTTATTTGTATGTGTAGCGAGGTGGCGCTGTCGGTGAGTCCTTAGAGGGTAGAGTCACCGGAGGGTGAAAAGTAGAGGGAAAAGGAGGAGGAGCCGAGCCGCAGGAGGCTGCAACTACGGGAAAACGTCTCAATCGCACGCGAATTTCTGCTAGGATTCGGAAATTTCCGACGAACATGTATGGATATGCGGCTTATCGGAGTCGAGGAAAGAATTTGCGTCTCTGTTAGAGAGGGGGCCAACTTCGCGCCCGGCTTCGTCGGCAACTCCCCGGGGACGAATCGCCCCCGTCCACACCCTAACAACTAGTAGTCACCAAATCAATGAGTAAACAATCCGAAGAATCTAATCTTCTAGATTTGGGAGGTCATGCGCCAGATACCAGGCTGGGCGAAAGTTCGGTCTCAAAACCAGTGACGGGCGGGGGGGGGGGGGGGTTAGGACGGGCAGAAAAGTAAGTGACATCTGTCAAGATTTCTGTCAAGAAATGCTGCTAAGCTGCGGTTGAACGCAAAAAAATAGCAGACAGCTTCCTCAAGCTTATACACACCAAAATACAATAATAAAGATTTTTTCCAGCTCCCCCCCCCCCCCCCAAATTTCTCATGGCTAAAAGATCAGAATTTTGTCTCCGCTTGTCTTCGGGACAACTTGAAAAAATTGTAAGCTTATTTTTACTTTTTTAGTTCAAATTTACCCACACAATATAGTGTTCAAGATCAAAAAATATAAGAAGACGGGATTTTCTATGAATATTTCGTTGATGATAATAACTAAATAATAATAACTATTTATTCGGGATTTTCTATGAATATTTCGTTGAATAATGATAATAACTAAATAATAATAACTATTTATTACTAATATCGGTTTTTGTACTATCATTACTATCTCTTACGACTAATCTCTAACATTTATACTATTCACACTACCACTGCGTTTCCCAACACCAATCAACACCAATCAACACCATCAGCACCATTCAACACCATTCAACAACAGCAACACCATTCAACACCATCAGCACCATTCCACACCATTCAACACCATCAACACCATTCCACACCATTCATTGTTTGCAAATTTTCAATCTTCTCCCAAATAATATTTTACCTTTCCATTTTCTCCCCAAAAAACGTCCAACCAACTCGTAAACATTCCCACTACCCCAAATACACCCATCTCTTCCCCATTTCCATTCGAAAATGACGAATAGCCCATTTTACCGGATATAGCTTACACGTCAGTAAGCGCGATGACAGATGGCAGCATTGTCAGATGAAAAGAAATGCAATTCTTCGACAGGAAATTTCTCGACATAAATTTGGCTCAGAATGTTGTGTACGGGGTAAAAGATATAAATCAAGCTATGTGGAGGAGAGGAGTTGTAGAGAATGGGGATGCGTTCAGATATAATTAAGTGAAGGAAAAATAAATCAGGAAACAAGAAGTAGGGGAATGGATACCAAGTGGACTGGCATGTGGAAGAGTGAGGAGCAATTTTGTGAAAAGAGGGGAAGAGAAGAAGCGAAGAGAGAAGATTTTCGAATTATTTTTTTTTCTTAGCAGAGATCGCCTCTCACTAATGACTATCTACGTTTTTGTTATGGCAGAATGAAATTGTTGATGTGGGGACGATAAAATGGTTAGGAATGAGGAAGGGGAGGTCATTAAATGGCGAAAAAATTGCAAGAATCTTGGTTCCCCGGTCTTCTCAACGCAAAAAATGATTCAACCCTAGCCAACTGTAATTGTTGTATTTGTTGTCTGATCGCGTTTGAATTCATACTCAAAATACATAGAAAATAAATATAAAGAGGGACCACACTATTACAAATATTTAATTTTCGCGGAAGCTACGGAAGAGAACTTACTGGTTTTTGAATATCTTCCACCCCACCCCCTCCGTCCTCCAACCTTCTTCAGCATACCACTTGATAAAATTTAGTTAAAGTTTACCCAGTGGGATCATCCAATTAAAGGTTATACTGAGAACTTCCTAGGTTACGCTCTTTTGTAAAATTAAGCAGGAAAATTTTCTCATCGCAAAGGCAGCCTATAATCAATGCAATGGAAAATTTGTAAAAAAGAGTATACGATTTTTTCAATTGGAGAAAGGTTTAAGTTTATTTTGTCTCATCACGGACTATAACACTATAATGACGCAAAAATGATAAAAACATAATACTCAAACACCCTCCTAATGCATGAATCTTTGAACTTGGCTCAGTAAATCTGCTCTCTTGCAGCAAAATTTGCAAGCTGACCAAAATTCCATGTTTTTGCGCTTACGTCAAAGCTAGTCCATTACTCACATGCTAAAACAGCATTTGCTGTGATTAATGGTAAAATGTGTCCACGTCAGTTTCGTGCTTTCGTCGCAAATTCAGATATTGCCATTTTTGTGAGATTCGTTGCTAGAGTAATCTCCTTTGATGTGATTTTATTAAAGTGCACGAGTTTGCATCATAATCAGAGGTATTATTAAGAAAAGCATTAAGATGATGAGATTCGATGGCATGACCATAATCCAAAGGATTTTGGTGTTAGTGCTTTATGAAAAATGAAGATAAAAGCCAAGATAAAAAACCTCTCCAATAATCCCCACTGGGAAGAAATTGCATGGAAGCACAAATTTGTCGAAATTCTTAGGGAGCTTGCTAGTAGGGAAAAATACCATAAATATTTAAATTTAGCAAAGAATCTGGTATTGATACTGGTAAGTTGGCAATACTGGTTGTGCTGGTATTGCCGGTAGCGCGCTGGTGGTGTTGGTTATGCTGTTAGTGTTAATAGTGCTGGTAGTGTTCGTAGTGCTGGTAGAGCTATTAACGCTAGTAGTGTTGGTGATGCTGGTAGTGTTGGTAGTGTTCGTGATGCTGGTAGTGTTGATAGTGTTGGTAGCGCTGGTGGTGCTGGTATTGCTGGTGATGCTGGAAGTGCTGTTAGTGTAGTGTTAGTAGTGCTGAGTGTTCGTAGTGTTGGTAGTGCTGGCAGTACTGCTAGTGCTAATATTGTCGTTAGTGCTGGTGGTGCTGGTAGTGAGTGATGCTTGAGTTTTGGTAGCCGTAGTATGTTGGCAGTGTTGGTAGTGATGGTAGTGCTAATAGGGCTCGTAGTTCTGGTAGTGTTAGTAGTTTTGGTAGTGCTAGTAGTGCTTGTGATGCTGGTAGTGCTTCCCACCAAAATCACGATCACATGGGATAATTTGCGCACAGTTTTTAGGCGCAGTTTTTTGCATTTTGATTAATTGCCGATAGCATAGATATCAAAATAAATCATTCCGAGCTTTACAGAAAACACCTATAAATTAGCTGTGTAAATTAGCTTGAATTTTCCAGTAGGTTCTACCACTCAATCATTCTTGAAGCATTGGCGAAGAAGATAGAGACTAATGAAAATACGAGAAAAAATTTTTGGTTATGTTCGTATGCTAAAACTCTTTTACATGCAGTATATACGTAAGAAGTGCGTGAAGATTCTCAAGCCAAAACCCTTTGAGGAACTCAGGAGACGTAATTGTTTTTTTTTGATTTTGTTTTTTGGTTATGTTCGTATGCTAAAACTCTTTTACATGCAGTATATACGTAAGAAGTGCGTGAAGATTCTCAAGCCAAAACCCTTTGAGGAACTCAGGAGACGTAATTGTTTTATAAACCGAAAACAGCAAATATCATCCAGAAGTTTCTGCACTCAAAGAAATTAAGAGTGAGTTGTACAGCAAGAATCGTGGACGTCAGCCGTACTATTTTTTTCGAAAACAAATCATCATTCTTCATATCGATTTACCTATGCTCTTTGAAAAGAGTCGAACTCAGCACATGATTACTGTAATTAATGGGCGGAGCTTAGAATAGATCATGACGAATGTTTTACTTCCGGTCCATTTTCATGGAATTCTTACATTGTAAGTGTAAGAAATCTATCCAAGTTCTCGGTGTTACAGTTTTTCTAGCTGAACAGACCTTTTTCATAATTCTTCCTTCTTAAAGGGGGCAGCGGCGTGATTTCTAAGCACAGTTCAAAACTTCAGCTCAACATTGTAGGAGAACTTGAAAAAGCCTACGTAGCGAATAGGCAATTAGCTGTTTTGAGTAAGTTGGGTTTGTTTTTGCTGAGAAAATAATCGCATACAGAAAATTGCTGTCACTTGCACTTTTATGGCTTTGACTAGGAACATTCTTTCATAAACATTTTGAGGTATTGAATTGCATAGTCTTTGCGAGCATCTATATTTTCCATAGAAATTCGCAATACTTTCATCTTATAGAATCTTAAATCTGTGCAGTTAACGCGATGAGGTCAAAAACCAAATTCTATGACGTAAAATTGGTCGATTTATAAGTTTGTGTGCAAATGCACAACTATCCACATTGCGCGTAAAATTCTGGATCACGTTGACCACAGCAATTTCAAAAGATAAATGCTTTTGCATTTGTCATGCTTTTTTTCGAACTTTTAAGGCAGCAGGAGTAATACACAATGAGAATTTTTGAAAAATATGTACAAAACGGCCAAAGACACCCACAATGTCACGCGCAGTGTAGACGTCGTGTGTATTTGCACATATCAGAGGATACAACTGGATCTTATTCTTTTGGAAAAAAAAATCAGCGAACGATTTACATATTAACTCCATTAATGCAGTGACATACTTCGCCCAACTCCACCCCTTTTTTACATCACCCCGTCGCTTTTTTGTTCCAGTAAAAAATGTAGCTCGCGTCTCACTTTAGCAGCTTCCCTCGATTACGTCAGGTTTTAAAAAACATCAAATGCACTTTCGCAAGCTGCATATGAATAATCTAGAAGTTTCCTACTGCAAGGCGTGGTTTCTATGGAATAGTCATCGATACTCTGACGTAACGCAAATTTGGAACATCAGCCGGTGAGCCTCAGTTAGAGCGCGGTTGC